GTAATTCACTGGACTGCCGCAATCATACTCATACTGATTATTCTAAACATTGTATATTACCATTAGAATACCTCAAAGTTGATGTGATGGGCTTAGGAAAAAGATTGTGCACTTTTCCTGACGCAAATTCTTATCAACCATATAGATTTTGCCTTATAGCTTCGTAATTCACTGGACTGCCTCAATCATATTTATACTGAGTATTCTACACATTGTATATTACCATTAGAATACATCAAAGTTGATGTGATGGACTAAGGAAAAAGATTGTGCACTTTTTCCTGATGCGAGTTCCTATCAACCATATAGATTTTGCCTTATAGCTTCGTAATTCACTGGACTGCCTCAATCATATTTATACTGAGTATTCTACACATTGTACATTACCATTAGAATAACTCAAAGTTGATGTGATGGGCTTAGGAAAAAGATTGTGCACTTTTTCCTGATACGAGTTACTATCAACCATATAGATTTTGCCTTATGGCTTCGTAATTCACTGGACTGCCTCAATCATATTTATACTGAGTATTCTACACATTGTGTATTACCATTAGAATAGCTCAAAGTTGATGTGATGGGCTTGGGAAAAAGATTATGCACTTTTTATGTTCGGAGTTTTAATTGTTCGCGTTATGTTAAGCCTTAGCTACGTATAATGTACAGTATGGTCTCAAATATGCCTTTTAAAATACGTCAAATAATTAGTTTTAACTTGTATACACGTTTTATCAATGTATTATTGACATTATATAAATATAAAAACATCATTTCGCATCGTATTGTCATTGATTTGTGTTTCCGACATCCCTGCAAAACACGTTTGTGGCGTCCGCAGGCGTACCAACCCACATCTATTACAAACCGAAAAAGCGCCGATGAAAAGAGCCGCTAACTTCACGACGGTTGCCGCTTGCCGCGCTCCTCTGTGTCTGGCCCCTGGCTGTCTGCTATTCCAGCTGGAGCTGACCTTCAGTTTGAAGTCGTGTGTTTTCTTTTTGAGGTTAAGAATAATATAGACAAGAGTTATCTATAAGAAATACATGAGTATCGTTAGCCGGAGTTTGTTTAGTCTTCTTAGTAAGATGTAAGATCCCGTGAAGGGGCCGAAGTATAAGGCAAGGCTATGTAATTTGTTAAGGTTAAAATTAGGCTACGGTTTAGTTTAGAATTTCTTCCTATAAAAATATGGGGTTTTCAAATCAGTCCCTCTATTATTCATTGTCTACACCTGGGCCTAAACATTTTAGCTTGGATTAGGCAGGCCTAAGTCTTACGTCTTAACTTTAAATCTTTCGGATAATCGAATTGTCATTCCCTTTCCCTGAGTGTGTTTGTTAATAGGACTAAGTTAGTGCTCATGAGTGTTAAAACCTTGGTAAGTTCTGGTAGGGGCTGTTAATTTTGTGCAGGCTTAACTTAGGCCTAGTTAGAGTGTAAATTACTAAGTTACCGGTTGTGTATTACAGTGTGCTGTTGTTCAATGTAGGTTCTGAGCTAGCCTATGTGTGGATTCTTCACAATTTGTAGTTGATGTTGGTGTCGTCAGCGAACATTATGCAAGTTTCTTCTGGTGTTAGAATAGGCCTAATTTGGGAAGCCATTGATATATATCAAGAAGTAGAGGGGTCCGAGTAGGCTACAGATCCTTGAGGGATTTCTCGTTTAGTTAGTTGAGTGGGTGATCTAGTTTTGGTTTGTAATTTTATTAACTTAATCTGATAAATTATTTCGACCTGTTGCCTATCTTTGAAATAGTCTTTAATCCAATTTAGGTGTTTTCCTTTAGGCCTATATTAATTTGGTATAGTTTGCCAAACAGTATATCTCTATTTAAGCTGTCGATGGCTTTCTGGAGGTCTAAGAAGAGTCCTCATGCTGGTTGTTTATTTTCCCACAGGGTGGTAATCGCTTCGTGGAGTTCATATAAGTTAGTGCAGAGTTGATAGATTTGTTTTTTCTGAATCCGTGTTCATGAGGGAATGAGTTAGTATTTTTAGGTTGGTTAGGTGCTCCATGATTTGTGTATAGATTATTTTTTCAATGTATTTAGAAATGTTAAAAATGTTGGTTAAATTTAATAGAATTTAATTTATGTAATTCATGAGTTAATATTTACAATATATTCAAATCATTTTACAATTCTTGCATTTTATATCCGTATTTAACGATAGGCCTACTAGGCACTCATTGAACAAATCCAGCTGTCAAGTCTTTTATTCTTTACTAATTAATAGTGGTTTATACAGGGTGCGGCAAAAGTACAGGTGCGATAGGTCATCCGAGAGCGAGGTTGTCGCATCACAGTATTAAGAACCTCTTTGACAAATGTTAAAAACAATTTGTTACACCACAGTCTTGCACACATTTGGCAAATAAAAAAAAAACAATTTACTGAGTGTCAAGACAAATTGATGACAATTGTGTAAAAGATAGGTAGGTATTGAAGCAAAAATGCAGAGGGCAGCTCAAAAGCAATTTTATGTATTAAATGTCTTATTTTACTGTAATTGTTTTTGAATTTAACTTAGTTCATCAATGTAATTAGAGGAACTATACAAAATACCTTCATTTATTTATTTTTCAATTCAACAATTAGGCTATCGAGATAAGAAATTGAAGTCGACTAAGATTTAAACGCAGTGCAAATGAAAGTCATCTTTTTCAATTAGGCCTACACTTTATTTGTATCATCAATGTTTACAAAAAAAAATAAGAAAGTTGCTTTTGGGCTGTAATGCAGGGTTCTGCTGTACTAGAAACCTGTGCATCAGATCACGGTCCCCACCCCGAAAAATGTAAGTCTTTTTATTTCTTGTGAAGGCCAGCAGATGTTTGCAAATATTTTACATAATATCATTTATTTTTATATACTGATGTGAGACATCCCATCGATCTATATGGTCGCCAATTTGAACACAGTTGAATGAGCCATTTATAAAGTTCTATAGTGTCAAATAAGTTAGTATATTTCATCACTAGGGCCTAAAGTGACTCTTTTTGACCCGACCGAGGGTTGAAAAGACACTTTTATGGAACTATATTTTTGACACCACTTATTTCAACATTATACGAACAAACTATGTTACAAAACTAAAATAGTTTTAATTTAAAGATAGCTTTTCAAAACTACCCCTAACTGTTTTGCAATTTCACTTGTTTTAAGAAACAAGCAGCTGTTTAGGCCTAGTGATTAAGTAATTCAATAGTTTTTTTGTTCTATTACGATTGTGTTAGTGTACACTATACTATCGCTAAGTCAAACTATTTGAACCATAAAGCTGGGTTTTCCTGGGTTTTAAAGAATGAAAGTCAACCTTTCCTACTCAGTCTACATCGAGACTGTGTTTCTTTAAATTAAGTTAAACTTACAACTAACTTATCCAGTCCCTGTTGTAAAGAGAAAGTTAGGCCTATAGTTTTTAAAGTGATTAAGTTGCTCCTAATACAACTAACGTCTCACAGACACAACTACCTTAAAACCCTGTGTTGCATACCCTGTTTGTTGAAAAAATTACCTTGTATAAATTAAAAATTAAATTCATCACTAACTTAAGTTGTGTACTGTGTTCTTTGTGTCTACCACAGTTGTTCAAAAATGTTGCGGCCTACCCAACCCAACCCATTCCATCCATCCACAATCAAATTTCAAGCTAAAGCTTGCGTTTATATAGGACAGACTAAGTTAACTTGGTTAGTAATTACTGCGGAATGAGTAACAATAGTTACTAACTTGGTGTCTCGCATAATTTATTAATAATAGGGCCTATATTATAAATATTAATAATTAATAAATATTTAAACTAGCCTATAGACAAATAATTGTTTTTTTAATACCAAGTTAGCAATCCTTGGCCTAACTAAATTGGTTTTCTAGAAATACTTACTTGAATACTTGTACCTATTCTTAATCCTTGACTGACAATGTCAGATAGATTGCGTCATGTCTTTAAAAATTAATTATTTTTACAATGAAAATAAATGATTGATCAATCTTATGATTTGCCAAAAACGCAATTAGGCTTCACCACGTTTGACTTCAAAAGTATTAATTAAACGTAAACAGGTACAGTTTCTTAACTAGGCTATGCTAATATCAATTGAAACTATCGATTCGATTAGCAAACCTTAATGCGGTTTTTTCACAATCAGCAAGTTTGGTTTCTTAGGTTAGGTTATGATAGTTTTATTTTATAATAGATAGGCCTATATTTAAAAATATCGATTATTAATCAATATTTACAATTCGATAGTTTCAATCGATATTAGCATAGCTCAGTTAAGAAACTGTACCCAATAAAACTATTGATTGATTGGCTAAGTCAAGGCCCCACTAGAAAAAACCTTGGCTAAGTGTTAAAACCTAAATATAATATTTATTATATTATACATCATTTATGAAATAATGTATAGTTTTTAGGAAGGTTTCTCGTAATAACGAATATTTTAAGTAGGCCTAATGGTTTATGGGGTTGTGACGTAGTTTTCTCAAAAGTTCATGGGTACTTGGGATTTATACAATAATTTATAGAGATTCCTAAACTCAACATATACAATAACAAGAACATAACCTCAATTATTAACTACATGACACATGAGTTGCATGCAGTGCGGCCGAGCGGCAGACTATAGAACTAGAACTAGTCAGACAACAGGTCCAACTCCTATGGTGTCTAAATGGGAGGCCTTCTTTTAGGCAACCTTTCACCTAGGTACCATTTCACTTAAATCACATATCAAGTTGGTACCGACAACTCAACTCGGTCAGCTAGGTCCCGGCCCCTCCCTTCTGGGGGAAGGGCGTGGCTTCGCCGTGGTCACGTGTTTCGCGGTGCGGTCGCTTACCCTCTACACTTCTGAAAATTCCCGCGACTTCTTTGAATTACCTCTACTCCACCCAAATTTCAGCCTTCCTTCGTCTCGTTTCTTGTTCTGTTCTGCGTTTCTTCTTCTTCTTCTCTTCTAGATCTGCTGCTGCTGCTCTAGCTCGAGTTTGAGGTTGGATTTTGATTTTGGAGAATTTATTGTTTGTCAATTTCAATTGTCATACAAATTTGTATTTTAGGTGTGTATTTTCAATTTAGGCCTAAGTTACAACTACTACAGTTTAAAGAACCATTTTTGTCATCACAAAATGGGTGGAATGAGGTGGATATTGGGGACTGGGAGGACTGGAGTGATAGTGATAGTGATTCAGGAGTTGAGATTTTGGATTTTGGTGAGTTTTTTGAATTTTAAACCCATATGGAAGTGTATCATAATTGCTACCATGTTTCCTCTTTGGTCCCGTAATTTTAAATTGTTTGACCTCACTGATTGTAACTATATTCCTATCCTTTGTTCGTCTGATTCTATTTTCCTCAATGTCCATTGTTCAAGTGTACCCAAATTAGGACTAAATACGAGGGCTACTCTTCCTTTCATGTTGAAGTGCCAGAACCACAATAATGATAGTCACAATAAGTGCCCATAGTCTGTGGGGACTTTAACATTGAAATGGCCAAGATGGAGGAACAAATCTCAATTAATTTCACGAACCTACTACGATCACTTGACCTAAAATGTAGTAATAAATTCCCTACAAGAAACGATGCCTGTTTAGATAATATAAACTTATTAGTCAATTTTTCTCAAGATTTTTACAAAGTTTCAATTTTGCAAGGCGCTTTGGCCGATCATGATCCACTGCTTTTTAAATACCATAGACCTGCCTGCAAAAGCTCACAAAATGTAGGCCTATCTATTGAGCAGCCTAGTGTTCTTGTTAGGAAACAAAATAAACAAAATCTCAATCTTTTCCGTGAGGTACTGCAGAGCGAGTCATGGGAAGACATTACAGAAAATGAGAGTAGCCCAGTAACATTGTTTGATAGTTTTTTTGATAGGTTTGTTAACCTCTGGTACTATTGTTCTCCACCTGTTAAGAAAAAGCTTAGATCAGATAATAAGACTAATCTAGTGAAAAATAAAATCACCTATTATAGTGATAGTTTTTAAAAAAAGTAAGGAAAATTGATTCTGTAAAGGCTCAGGCAGCTTATAATATCTACAATAGCTTAAAAAAACAGTACAGGAAGGATTTAAACCTTGCTAAAAAATTAGCCTGTGCAAAATACATTAACAATTCAAAGAACAAATGCAAGGCCGCCTGGGACATAATAACACAGGAAAATACAACCACACGCACATCTCATGTTACTCTTGACCCTAACAAATTAAACACATACCTACTTTACAGATTCAGTTGAGGAACTGGCCAATCAAGTGGGCCAGACTCAAGACACACCAAGAGAACTACTGGAATCTACACAAAAATTGGGCGTCTCTAAATTTGAATGGATACCTATTACACCAAATGAGGTAACAAAAACAGTCTCAAAATTTTCAAATAATTCTAAATCTATGGATCACTTTTGGCTTTCAAACTACATAGGCCTAATCAAGAATATTATACACTACATATCTACACCCCTCTCCACCGTATTTAATAGTTGTCTCCGTAATGGCTATTTTCTTGACCAACTTAAAGTCTCAAAAGTAACTCCAATTTATAAAAAGGGTGACAAGAATCTATGTCAAAACTATCGCCCAATCTCGATAGTACCAATCTTATCTAAGGTTTTCGAAGCTCTCATGTTAAAACAGTTAAATAACTTTTTTGACTCTAATAACTTGATGACTGATTCTCAATTTGGGTTTAGAGCTGGCAGATCAACTATGATGGCAGTCTCTCACATTTCCAATTATATTATTAATGCTTTTGAAAATAAAAATACTGTTTCCATGCTACTTTTTGATTTAACAAAAGCTTTCGACTGCATCCCGTTTGACATCTTGCTGGCTAAACTCAAATTCTATGGACTTAGCAAAAACACAATAGAAATGCTTGAATCATATCTGACTAATAGGAAGCAATATGTTAGTGTGGAGGGTAAACACTCAACATTGACCACAATTAAAGCAGGAGTTCCACAGGGCTCGGTCCTAGGCCCTTTCCTTTTTATAATCGCAGTAAATGATCTTCCATGTAACACTCCTGTCGAATGTGTAATTTACGCAGAACAATTTAAAAAAATTACAATAGCGCTTTCGTTCTAATAGGAGTGTTTTAAACTGGTTTTCTGCAAATAAACTGATCTGTAATCAATCCAAGACCCAGAAAATTGATTTCTCACTCTCTATTAAACAATCAGACCACTCAGTAAAAATTCTTGGCTTCCACCTCAATAGTAAATTAAACTGGAAAACTCACATCACAAATTTGAGCAAAAAACTATCGAGAGTTTCATGTTTATTCTGGAAACTCAAGCCTTTTGTCGATATTGAATATCTCAAACTAGCCTATTTTGGGCTGTTTCAATCAATATGGAATCCAACTTTGGGGCCATTCCCCCCTTGTCCATGAGCTTCTACTAATACAAAAAGAAGTTATTTGCACAATGTTAGGGGCTGACCCTGCGGAGCACTGCAAACCACTTCATTTGAGTTTTTAGCATTTTATAACATAGCCTATACGTATTTGATACTCTCAGCAGCTGGAGTAGTGTGATTTTTTCTTTGATTATTGTGGCTTCACGTGACAGGTGGAGGTGGATGGCTATAACTTACAAGGTTACATGGTACACATTAAATTCATAATGATTTGCCTATTTCGGTAGACTGGCTTTTTCGTAGGCCTAAGCTTCATTGCTCTTTACAATTTCAAGAGATCTATTGTTCAAGGCGTCAATGGGCAACTAACCTAAGTTTATCGCCATTCTACCGCATTATAACCCACCCTACAGGGCCCGGATTTTGTAGGTAGCAAATGCGCAACAAACCTACCGCTAGGGCAACGGCCATCAAAACATTTTTATGTGTGATAATAAACCTTGTAGGTTAGTCTACAGTAACGTAGCCAGTATTTCAAAATAGGGGGGGTCGACCGACCGGGGAGTCCAGGTAAAGGGGGGGTCGACCGACCGGGGAGTCCAGGTAAAGGGGGGGGTCCGGGAAATTTTTTAAAAATTTAGACCCTAACGGTCTTTTTTAGCTCTCTTGGCATTGAAAATAATCAACCCCAAAGTCAATACAGTACAATTATATAATTCTACATTTAATTTAACAAAAAATATTATATTTAAGACCAGAAGGGGGGGGGGTCCGGACCCCCAGGACCCCCCCCCTGGCTACGTCACTGGTCTAAACTTAGTTGATACTACTAACAAAATAACTTAGCTATCTTAAAGACATCAAGTAATTAAGTAGGCCCATTTTATTGGTCGTTTAATAATCACTGATCACTATAGACTTCGTCTGAGACACATTAACTCACGGTATATAGGCTACTTGATCAATAGCGATATAGGCCTATTATCACAGTCACATTTTTATGCATAGCTTATCAAATAAATAGGCTCTATCACAGACGTTAAAATAAATAATAAGTATAGTTGTGCAGTTAAATAGATCAGGGGTAATAGTACTTGTTGTAATATGTAGTTATACTTCACCAAATCCATTTCAATGCATCAAGCAAAAGAGCTGTAACCCCATGATTAGCCTGGGCTAGTCTAATAATATTTTAAGACATTTTTATTTTATGATATTAAAAACATTAGGCTACACTAAGCTAATGAAATCTTCCCATAAACTTAGCCTACTCGGCTTTTAATTTTTGCATCGATTTTGACTGCCCTACCCGTCAATGAGGTTAAGGGTATAAGTTAGGCCTAACCTATACAAAATCCTGCCTTAATCTGAATGGGAAAACATTATTATTTGCAGATGATACAACGATGCTGTCCAGAATCTTTAGTATTATTACAGTTGTTCGGCATTTGGATCATTGCCGGCCAATCTTAAAGGATCTTAAGCTACGTTTCCATTCCTGCAAATTTGTGCCGGCACAAATCTCCAAATTTGTAGGAATGGAAACATCCTGGCTCAAGTCACGGCGCAAATCTCTCATCAATTGATTAAATGCACCTTCCAATGCTCTTTTAGCCAAAAAACTTCTTATCCTCTATCTAGGTAGTTTTCTTCTAAGTTCATTGTATGCACCAGCCATAAATAAAAAATCAGAGGCTGTTATGTCATCCATGGTGATTTGTAGAACACAATATAATCAAAATCATCCACCGAACCTCACCACATCACAATAAAAGAGAACACTGCCTTGTCTGCCAGTTGAAGTGGCGGGACTTGTGCCTGGAATGGAAACGGCATGACAAACTACGTGCGACATGTGCCTCAACTTGTGCCTGCGACTTGTAGGAATGGAAATGTAGCTTAAGGGTACTCACGGCGTAGTGCTTGATATCCTGACCCTAGAAAAGATTACGTGCAGGCAGTGGTGGATCTAGAACAGTCACAAGGGGGGGGGACCAGGGTGTCTGAGAGGTTCGGGGGTACCCCCTCCCTCCCCAAAAATTTGTTTAAACTAAGTCTTCAAAAATGGCAGTTTTATACCATTTCTTTGTCCTAAGTTAGTGTGACAAATTATTTTACGCAATTTGTATGCACTACTGTATTACATGCAGTCAAAAATATATGACATACCTATATTTCCAAACTGCGACTGCCCCCCCCCCTCTGGATCCGCCACTGGGGTGCAGGAGTACTATACCAGAAGAGCACAAAATATAGACTTTTCCTGCTGTCGTCTCAAACTTACCTAGAATAGCTATCCTCGTTCTACTATTAACTGCAACTCATTTGCAGGAGATGGATGCACCCTCCTTCAGAAGGCGCTGAAAGGAATACTAATTATAGGCCGCTGTACTCCGTAAAAGAACTTAAGGAAGAGCACCTAGTGAGATAAGTGTGTGTCTGCCATATCATCCGTTAAACAGCCAGGTTTTTGAAGGTATAGTTTATTGTAAATATTATATATAGACAGGGGCGGCGGAAGCAAATTTTTGTTAGGGGGTCAGAATTCTATGATGGAGGTCCACATCTGGGGGGCAAGGGGGGTCCGGGGGTCCTCCCCCGGGAAAATGTTGAAAAATAAAAGCCTTAAAACGTGTTTTTAGGCTACCTGAAGAACATTTTTCTTCAAGCAGTAACAAAGAAAATTTACAATTTAACAAAGACGCTAATATGTTCATTGTAAAAACATTATAATAAATAATACACATACATCTCAAACAAACATAAAATGAAGTACTGGTGCCCAGATTTTACTAAAGATGTCAGCAATGAGTTGCTGCAGACGACAGAGAAGAGTAAACAAGCTCTAGACCCTCGGGATTTATGTGTTTGCGTAATTTCGGCAGGCTCTGCCCCTCCCCCTCAAAACTGAATTAATAATAAGTTAAATTAAAATTGGCTGCTTGATTATAGTTAATCACAAAAGTAAGAAGATAGGGTATAACCAAGTAAATGTGTCCACTGGGGATAAATAATGGTTTACACAAAAAACATTACAAACATTGTATTGGCACAACATAAAATTACTAAGAAATACAAAACCTTTTTCATGAATTATTGCTAAAATAAGTAAAATCCCACACGAGAATCTCAAGATATTAGCCTACTACAAGTTTACTAGATTTTTAAACTTCTGCTGATGAAACTTCAGTAGGCCCTAACTTGAACTTCAGTCTTTGAAATTCCCGAAAACTGCACAGCGACTTTCAACTCTATTGACAAACATTCTTGCAATGTGCTTATCATCAATAGATTTAGCAATGTCCCTATGGACGGATAAGATGGCAAGATGGTTCAATCTCTTCTGCGTCATCGTGGAACTTTTGTCTTTGTACTTATCTTCAGTAACTGTTTTTAGGCCTACTTATACTTTTCTTCTTGGGCCGAAAAAATAAACGTATACAGTACGGAATGCTTTATATCTTTAAATTTTTTATATGAACCCCTGACCCTTGACCCCCCTGACTCTTCCTAAAATTTCAGGGGGGTCAACTGACCCCCCTGACCCCCTGGTTCCGCCGCCACTGTATATAGAGTTATTTATTAAATCACTTAATAATTTACTAGCTTCTGTGCCCGTGCTTCGCAACGGGAAGATGAACTATACCGCCTAATCCAAACAGTTGTTAAGTAGTCCGAATTTATGAACAAAAGCCACCAAATGTTGGCCTACTGTATAAAAACAATTATGACCAACATTGTAATTGCCCTACTGTTTACGTTAAAATATATCAATAACATAATATTCATTTTCATATTTGAGTTGTTTTGTCTCAAGATCAATGAACCAACTATAAAAGGTATAAAATAACCTCAGTACTGCCAGATTGATCCTGTTTAGTCCTTATGGATTACGGGTTTTAAGGACTTAAGTCCTCATCATGAGATCTTTTACAAGAACATTTAACACTGTAACTTCGAAAGGGTCATCAAGAGTTTAAATGCGAAACACGGACATATACTATTTACAGTCATAGACGTTTTATGAATAAAACGAGTAGGCTTACTGACAAAAACTTACAATGTCCAACCCCAACCTCGTGCGCACAGTTGCAGATGAGGGTCATGACTGCGATGCGGAAGATGGTTGGGCGGTGGACTTTGTACAGCTCGGCTCCTTGTTCATCAGCTGTTCTTGTTTTTTTATTAGAGTATCATACAGAGCGTTAGACTGTAAACTGATTTTGTCGCTTAATAATGTGTTAGCTTGAATTTTGATTGTTTTATAAATTTCAAATTCTTCTATAGCATCCATTCCTGTATATTGCTTTAAAATTCAAAATAAACTACGCCATGGCTCGGTCCCCAGGTACTTATTTCAATTCAGGAAATTAAAGCCTTTACAACTATTATTCAACAAAAACTTCTTTGCACTAACTTGATCAGGGAAATATAGGCCTAGACAAAATATAAAAGGTTTAATTTACCTGTTGCTGATCCTGTTAAAACTGTTAACAGGGGCAGGCCAAGACCATAAAGCACTTCATCCAAAAATAAAATTATTGCGCACCCCATACAGTTGTTTTCTTGAAGTTACAAGTTCAGGCGTCCGATAAAAGCCTGTAGCTTCCCAATTAGATCCTCCTCAGGAAGATATCTATTTCTTGCCACATTAACAAGAGTTATTCTTCTAGCAAGAAGAATAACTCTTGGTAATGTGGCAAGAGGTTAACATGTGTCTTTAACAAGCAATGAAAGCCCCTCAAAGATCGAGTTTGTGTCGCACGTTTGTAGGCGGAATAAACCAGTTAAAAACTTTTAGTTAAGGGTACCTATGGTAATTTATTGTAAAATAAGACCTTTTTATTTGAAACTACCAACTACACCAACCCGCATAATTTGGTACCCTTGAGTATTTTAAAATTGTGACTTTCTTTACCAAGATTAAAATGTTTGTTTCAGGAAGAAAGATGTAGCCCCAGCTCTGGACAAAAATATTATGGAGAAGGTTGGCCGCTGTACAGGGCAGCTATAGTTATTATTATATGTTGCCTTTTATTGTTATGTACTGTTTTTATACTTTACCAATAAACCTTATATTTAATCTAGAGCAGTTAATTTTGTTAAAATTCTTACCAGTAAACTTCTCTGTAATTTGTAAAGAAAACATGTAAAAATGATTATATAGTTTATTTTGATCTTCTAACTATTTTGACAGTTTTATAGATAAAATATTCTTCTTTTTAGATATATTTTTTGATTGTGATGAAATGAGGGAATAAAATACATAAAATACTTTATTAATAATTGATGTAAAAAGGAAAGATATTAAAACATTAACACTTCAAACTGTGAACATATTAGGACAACATAATAATCTAATCAAGCAGCTGATATTAAAAGACACATTAAAAAGATATTTGATTATACTGTATAGCACTAAGCAAAGCAGTACTATATAAAATCCTCAACATTCCCCCTTAATCAAACATCTTTTTTTTATTTAATCTGAGTCTTTAAGTCCCAAGTCTGTCACAAAGTTATTAAATTTTTCACGTGACAATGATTTGGTTAAAATATCAGCCGTCATATTTTCAGTTGGCAAATACTTAATTTAAATGCACTTCTTAACCATATTCTTGACCTTTAGCAACAAGACGTGCTTTGAACTTCTCACGATCACCATCTACATTTTTATTAGTTTTATAAACCCACTTGCGTTTAACCACATTTTCATTCTTCGGACGATCAACTAACTCCCAAACATTGTTCTTAATTAGAGAATTATACTCTTTGTCCATGTTATTCATCCATTCTTCTTTGAAATTGTTTTCAATTGCCTTATTGAAAGTTTGTGGTTCTGCGAAAACATCAACAGCTTGATATGAAACAAAGTCGTTCATCCATAATGGTTTTCTGCGATCACGTTCAGGTCTTTTATCTCCAATCAAAGAATTTCCTTCTTCCAAAACTTGCTGTTCTAGATAAGTATTTTCATTTACTGAAACTCCCTGTTCACTTTCACTGTTAGAATGAACAAGATTTTCTTCGTTGTCAACACATGTTATATCATTGTTTGGTTCTTCCACAAGTTCAGTTGTGCTACTGTTTATAACAGTGTATTCAACTTGTTGACTTTCATTTTTCAGGTCATCTTTCACATCAGAGGAATGACATTGGTCTTCTACAAAAAGTACATCACATGCTTTTATAATAGAATAAGGTTTCTTAGGATCAATTAGTCTGTAGCCTTTGGAATGTTCACAATACCCAACCATAATACAAGGCTTTGCTTTTGTGTCAAGTTTCTTTCCGTAACATTTGGGAATATGAACATAAGCTTTACAGCCAAAAACCCGTAAGTGACTTAGATCAACCTTTGAACCAGTCCAAACTTCCTCTGGTGTTGCATTCTTTAAAGCTGCTGTAGGACTACGATTCTTCAAATAGATAGCTGTGTTTATAGCTTCTCCCCAATATCGTTTTCCTAAACCTGAATCTTGAAGTAAACATCTTGTCTTTTCAACTAGTGTTTGGTTAACACGTTCACTTACACCATTTTGCTCTGGAGTGTGGGGTATAGTGGTCTCATGAATAATGCCATTTAAACGTAGAAAATCTGCAAATTGTTTGTTAACATACTCACTCTTGCCATTATCAGTTCTCAAGCGCTTAATTTTAAAGCCAGTTTGATTTTCAACTTCCATTTTGAAGTCTTTGAACTTACTTAAAACTTCATTTTTGTGTTTAAGTAAATAGCCAAAAGTTTTTCTCGAGAGATCATCGGTGAATGTTAAAAGATAAAGAGATCCACCCCAACTTTTAACTGACATAGGTCCACATAAGTCTGAATGAATTAGCTCAAGTAATGAAGTAGCTCTGATACTTTGACCTTTTGGAAAAGATTTTCTTGTTGTCTTACCTTCAATACATGCGGTACAAGTATTCTCCTTTTCTGATTTTGAATAATTTACTCCATTAACTAAACCATTTCTTAGTAAATCCATTCCTTTATGACTTAGATGACCTAATCTACGGTGCCACGTACCTTTGGTAGCAACTGTAAGAGCAGCTGATGAAATATCTTCTTCGAATTCAGAGTGACCATTCAACTTTGTTGGCTCAATTAAGTTTAGTTTATATACACCACCGTCATTCACAGCAGAAATGTCACTATTTCCCTCTATTCGACAGTCATTTTCTGAATAAATTCTGCACGAATCTTTGTCAAAAACTACTATTTTACCTTTTTCTGTAATTTTATTTACAGACAACAAATTAGTAGCAAGTTCTGGTATGTATAAAACATCCTTAACAGTAACTTTATTAGAATTTTCTATATAAAGTTCAATATCACCAACACATTTACTTGTAAGTTTTGCATTATTGGCCACTAGTACTTCCTTCTTTTCAAACTTACAATTTTTCACCATTTGATTACTCATATGAGTTGTACAACCTGAATCAATTACCCAATCATTATGATCAACTTTGGATTCATAAGATTTTATATTTTCAGTATGGAAAACGGTTGTAAGCAACACATTGTCATTTTCTTTGTGTTTCCCAACATAATTTGCCTTAGATTTGTGCTGAGAATTATTGCCAAGATTAGGACAGTTAGGCTTAATATGTCCAGGTTGGTTACAATGATGACAAATAATTTTCTTCTGTGGTCTAAACTTACCTTTTGAATCTTTCAACTTCTCAATTTTCTTGGCATAAGAATGTTTAATTGCCAAAGCTGATTCACTTCCAGTTGAAGTATTTTCAGACCTCCTAAAATCCTCTTGTAAGAGACGAGTCTTAACAAACTCACTTGAGACAGTTGTTTGAGTAACTTCAATACCCATAATAAGCGGTTCATATTCTGAAGGTAAACCACCCAGAAGTAGCATTGCAACTTCTTCATCACCAACAATGTGATTTATGTCAGCTAACTGTTGAACTAAGGACAAAGTTCCATTTACATAGTCTGCCATTGTGCTAAAATCTTCCAATTTAGTTCTAAGTAAACGTCTTAAAAGACTAAGTCTTCTAACCAAACTTTTGTTTTCAAAAGCATTCTGGAGATTATTCCAAGCTTCTTTAGCAGTGTTAGCATTCCTAACATAAGGATAACAAGTAGGCAAAACATTTAAACAAATTTTTGCAAGAGCCTTTTGATCTCTGTTTTTATCTTTAATTTCAGTATCATCAGATACACAATCCCAAAGTCCATCAATTATTAATGCCATTTTCATTGAAAACTTCCAATTGTTATAATTTGAAACACCCTCTAGACGTTCAACATTACTATTTCCTCCCATTATAATATTTGTCATACTAGACAATCCTGTATTACTTGAGGTAGGTGTAATAGTATGAGTTGTATTATTGTTTTCTTGTGTAGTTTCCATTTTAGGTCAAACAACATAAAAATTCATTTCAAGAAATTGGGTAACAAAATATTTTTCATAAGCCTAGAAATCTTACCAAACACAATCAGTCCAGAATTCTTCATTTTAATGTAGTTTTATACATATTCAAAATGAATTATATCAAACACGTTTTCTGGGCCCGTAACCTGATGAAATGAGGGAATAAAATACATAAAATACTTTATTAATAATTGATGTAAAAAGGAAAGATATTAAAACATTAACACTTCAAACTGTGAACATATTAGGACAACATAATAATCTAATCAAGCAGCTGATATTAAAAGACACATTAAAAAGATATTTGATTATTTTATTATAAAAAGATATTGATTATTTGATTATACTGTATAGCACTAAGCAAAGCAGTACTATATAAAATCCTCAACAGATTGTTCTTGTTCGTACAGGTCTCAGATAACTATACATAAAGATAAAATGATATTTATATTTATATTATATATGCGAGTGCCAATCTTAAGAAGCAAAGTTAATATATAGCTAGTAAAATAAAATAATGTTGGTGTTTAATGACTAATGAGTGTACTGTAAAAATGAAATAAGTAATTCAAAAGTTGAAACAAAAACTCTATTTAGCCAACCCAATAAAATCACTCAAGAATTTTCCTCTGAATAAATGTTTGAACTTCATAGTCTAGAGGTGTTAGGTTAATGTCTAGAGGTGTTAGGTTAATGAGACATAAGACTGCTTAAGGGTGTTGCTCAACGTGTAATGAACAAAATTAAATTAAGAAAAACAACAAAAGTAAAGAAAAAGAAAACTTTGAAAAGGCAAAGATCAACAATAATAAGATAAATAAATTTACAACGTTATAATTTACAAGAAAAGAAAATCAATTAAAAATTTAAAAGAATGAGTTACTGACAAACTATATGACTTGTTTGTTTTACAAAACTTTAGTTATATATTTTATTCTTTTTACATACTGTTTATTGTCCCAGAAGCACACGCACCGATACACACACTCCGAAACTCTCGATCTTCTTGGTCCAGTGGCCCGTGGTGAACTCCTCGATTTGTTTCTTCTGGTCCTCCAGCTCCGAGACTCCTCACCCCTCCATTTTCTTCATTAACCCTTCTCATTGGCTGATTGGGTGTTTGACTTATAGGTTAACGATGTTTCTTGGAAGTTAGCCCTACCGGTACCCTATCGCCTAGCTCACGTCAGCAGGGAAAGGAATTTGTAAATCGATACTCATGCTACTGTTCAACTCTCTTCACACCAACTGGTCGTCTATAGTCCTCGCCACCCTAAGTTGAGGCAGCCAAAGGCCGCACTAGGTATATGCCGTGCAGCCTTGGGCTGCCTCAACTTAGGGTGGCGAGGACTAAGTGTAATGTAAACAGAGTATCTGCTTAGATGAGCACCGTGGGTACAGGGTTAATCCCCTTTCTTACAATGTAAATCTATGTTGTAAACTTCTTGACATACGAGAACTACTTTAGGGACAATTTATACTAGGCGTATGCTCATTCTTCCCGTATTGGGGGCCTAAGACATTGAAAAAGGCTGTGCTGGTAAAAGCGACCAGAATACACACTAAGACCGAAGACCCTAGTTGTTGCCGCACATAAAAATTATACTGGATATATATAGCAGGTATGGAGACAAAAATCATGGATGCTCAAACAGTGTCTTGCACAGCAGATCATTTTGAGAATGCCAGAGGTCTTGGCACAGATGTGCTGAATGTCTGGCCCAAAGACCAAACCCACATGGCGAGTCAAATCTGGGTAATAGTCAATATCCAGAGAATTTTGTTAATGCCAACAATTTTTAACTTATTCTTGGTGGAATCAACCATTATCTTTGGTCAAGTCTTAGCTAAGACATCATTAAGAGACTGAGACGGTGGTGTCATCCTGTAATTCAGCTACTAGGAGGTCAGGAGTTGTGGATATTTATAGGCATGTACTGTGGATGTGATACTTCGTGGTTTGAATTAACGCCCTTACTGCGACTATCCGCATAATACTATCCTGATAATTAGACCAATTTTTTTATACCAAGGAAAAATGTGGTTCGGATTCTACTATAAACTGTAGGTCCCTATAGTTATCCATTAGCCCAAAGTATGGGCTATTAATTGACAGCTGTGTCTAAGGAATATGTCGGCCTTAGTCACTAACAAGGATACAAAATCGTGCCACTCATCCATCCTACACTCATCTCCATGCATACTGGTACTTGGCTTAAAATACCTGCTTTGTATGGTTGCCATTTCAAATTAAAGTATTAAGCCTAAGGCAAAATGACTCATAATCATAGAGGGAAGCAACTTTCCTCAAACAGATTTATATCGTCAGCGAACTAAGGGATCTTGATAACTCTCTTGATGTCTTTAAAGAATATGTACAACTAAAAATATCTGTAAATTTCTTTTGATGTTTTCATGATAAATATGCAATGCAATACAACAAAGTAACTTTTGAACATTAAAAATAGCTGTTAACAACAAATTTTTCGATAAAACTCTTTACAAAAATCTGAAGGGCAGGTCCAGAATTGATGGCCTCTCAAGTCCGTAAATTGCATCTGTGATGTTGTTTAGTAAGTTCAACGCTAAATGATTATCAGTTAACTTAACTTATCCAATCAATAGTGTTAACAATACTCAATGTTAATACTTATGAAGTCAAACGGAACGGGGTGAAGCCCGTGGATATAACAGCTAGCTGTCTAGTTGATATAAAACACGTTTTTGAAAATAATTCGATTGATGCTTTAAATGCAAATGTTAGGCATTTATTTTATGAGTTATTTAATTTTTCATACAACAGATCTATGGAACATAACAATAAATTATTCTCTTTAGCGCTCCTTTGGCGAAGCACGGGTATGGCGACTAAATATAGTACGCTCTATTTCGCAACGGGTACACAAGTTCAGAATACATTTAATTGTTTGATGTAATAATTAAGTCAATAGCCCAAAAGTAAACACATCCGATTTATTGTGCATCCTATGTTCAATTGTGTTTTGGATTTTGTCACATAACCTGAAAACCAGTTAAACGGTTACATGGAAATTGTGGGAAATTTCGCTCTACAAGTGCCTGCTGCATCCCTGCATTTATCCCACTGAGCTAGATTTATCCAACAGTGTTGTCATATTGAGGGAGTAACACTAAATTCAGGGGCGTAATCTCGCTGAATAAAATTAAAAGTCTGCAGCAACACCTATTTCAAATTTTAAAGACAGCTTTGTCTGGAGCTCCGTTTTTATATATTCTACTACTGTATTTAACTTATGGATTTTATTTTGTACCTTTCATATGTGTTATATTTAGCTAATAATCTTAACATATAAAAGTAAAAGCCCTCACTCAATGATTCATTACTAATCCAACTTCCAGACTAGCTAGAACGTTGAAATTTGGTGTACTGATTATTCAGGCATTAAATAGGAAAACTAAGTAGTTTTTATCCTGATCTGACTTTTGGGTTCCACCTAAGTGGTTCTGGAGTTTTCTTAACCTTATAAGTATCTATATTATTAAAAGACTTTGTTGGATTTTGTGTGCAGCAAATTGACCCATAAGTTTGAATGTTTATAGGCATATTGGGTATCTATATATTAAATATAGATACCCAATATATTTAATAGGCAAACACGAATTTTGTGACGAATCCGTTTTGAAGCTGCTATGCATCCGATCACCACGTAGATAAATGCTTTCCATTGACCTACCTTTATATTGATTGGCATATCACTGACAAATGATCACTATAATGTATCTCAAAACATATATAAGACCTAGAATAATAAAATTTTGCATTGGGACGACAATCCATATATATGGTGTAGATGTACAAATTTGGGGGTTTTGCAAAGTTCTAAATTCAAGGGTGGTTTAGGGGATTAAATCTATTTCAGAAGAAATTCGAGTATGCAAGATATTATATTTTGGTCTGTAACTTATAAGTTACAATGCTTGGATCTTAAATCTTATGGAAGATCGGTAGTGTAGAATTAAACTATCCACAACTTTTGTATTTCAAGAGTGTTTTTCTATCTCAAACTTATTTCGAGTAAAATAGGTTTACATTCAAAACTGTGAAAATTTGCTTGTTCCGCCACCTAAAAACTAGTCAGTGTCCGTACGTTTAATCATATGATTACCAATCTTTTATTTTATTAAATAGCATTATTTATTATATAATAATAATGCATAAATCAATAAAAGCTGTTAAAAACCTATCAAGTGTACTATCGCAAGTATAGCTACCGACATTATTACATTTTAGGAGCTTGCTCCCGTAAACATTTGAAATATTCTATTCTAAAGCTTCAATTCAGTATAGGTTGTTATCATTAACCGGAACTGCTACACAATTTGTTGTAAAACGGTGATAGTTTTCGTTAAACGTTAATAATAGAGTCAATCTTCTTATATTTGAAAATAAATTTAACCGATTTTCATGGTTGAGGTCTCAAATTGAAGGTGTGCACAGATTTCACTCTAAGCAATCGGCATATATATTGATCTACTGTATTACTCGTCCAAAAAACATATATTTCACTTTTTCGAATTCTTACTTCAATTTAAGATGCATTTCACCAGTTATAATTATACAATCCTACATATTTTGGTCTAAGAACCTTCAGTGAAATGCCGGCTTTCATTTAAGCTATTAATTAGTTATCCAAATCGGACGGACTACAAGCAATTGCAATGTGAACAACCAACATATAAATTATTTTTTTATAAGGGTTTTCTATGATTAAAAATCAATAGGTCCACTATTGTTTATGTTTTTTTCATGTTTTTGACGCAAAATAGTAAGTTAATTAAAGGTTTTAATTTGAGCTATTTATCGTTTGAATCAGTTAAGATCAAGATACTCAATACAAATTTATAAATTTGATTATTGCTCGAATATGATTTTCATTTCAACGTTGTAGAGTAGCATGGGCCCTCTAGTAATTATTAAATGTACAGAAGGGACAACAAAATTCAAGAATAATATCAAATCAAGAGCATGCCGAGTCAGTAACGGGGAACATCATATATACAGTATATCACTAAATAAAATAATGTTTTTGTGTTACTTTTAATCCTACTTTAGACTATCTGAAATACTTTTCAATAAAGTTAGAGAAAACTAACTGTACCATTGGAAAATTTGGCTTGGAGTATGATTATGAATGAAAGGAGATATGAATACTTTAGTATTTTTGGTAAAAACATCATTCAGTTGTTCCAGAGAGGGTAGTTCCGTTCCGTAGCGAAGTCAGTGACAACTTCAGCAGGCTTATAGTAAAGAATAAAAGACGAAAAAGTATGTCAGGCGATGCAAACGGCAACAGCTAGTTAATTAATAAAATCTGACCCGTTAATACTGTAGATTTAGTTACAAGAGAAAGTAGCCTAGCAGTGACCCAGGGGCATGGAGAGAAACAGGTTAGCAAGATGATGGACTTAATATCGTATTTTGTTATTTACAGTATTTCACCTATGAAAAGTTCTAACTAGATATTTTATACATATAATTTCCTTCGGCATTTATACTGCCTACTTTGTAGCCGTAAATATCGGAATTACCCACATTACCCTTGTATGGGAATGTTTATTGCTCCAGACTTTTGGGTTGGCAGCACTGTTCACCCCATAACAACTACTCCCTCCCCCAGAAACCTTGCAGCCAATGAGAGCAGTCGATGCCCCCACCACAAGAGCAAGAGGGCGTTCATTACCTCACCAAATTGAAAAGTAACCAACCTGACCGATTTCAATATCGGGCAGGTAGGTCCCTTCACCAGTTTGAAAGGTTACCTACTTGAAGGGATCCCGTCTAAATCAGAGGATCACACACTGCCTGTAAGGTCAAGTGATCTGGAGTGGACTACTAGATCTGGAATTTTACCTCCTGTCCTGAGTCTGACCTTGAGTTGAGTGTGGTTGAAGTTCTTTCTTTCTTCCAGTCAGTGGCAGTTAAAGTAACTGCTGCCACTGCTGCCTCCCCTGCCTCCTGCCTGCCCAACCCACGCCTGCCTCTGAGTTGACCCTGACCTGACCCAAACTAACTAACTAGAGTCAATTGAGTTTGTTTGTTTATTGAGTACGACACGACGGCCGTAAAGAAAGAAGTAACAAGAACGACTTACACTGAGATTTTCATTCTACACACCACACAAATAAATACAAATACAGAAACGAAACACGACTGGACTCGGACTGACCCAATTTCATGAATCAGGATTACAACAAGGTAACAATGATAGGTACAAAAAGAAACCTATTATTCTTATTTTAGATTTCATGATAAAGTTAGATCTAGTTAAGTTAACAATTAATATTTATGAAGCTCAAAAGCGTCAATTAACTACGCGCCTATTCATTAACGTACTTTTAATCATGATTACTTTTAGGTTAGGTTGCAATACTGTAGCACCTAAGAAGACATAGGCCTAATGGTTGGAGTTGTTATCTTTTGCATTCTAACAGGGCCGGATTTAGCATTTTTGCGCCCCTAGGCCCAAAACAATTTTCCGCCCCCTAGTCTGGTCACAGTTAGGCCTACTTTCCTTCAAATATATAAATATTCAAATATTTCGACTGGGACGGTGGCGTCGTCCTGTAATCCAGCTACTAGGAGGTCACGAATTGTGGATATTTAAAGGCATGCACTGTGGATGCGATCAGGGACATATTTCCGAATAGGCGGACTAGGCACCCGCCTAGGGCGGCAAATTTTAGGGGCGGCAAAATTTTGAGGGTAAACAAATAAAAAAACGAAATTTTAATCTAAAAAAAATTTTAGCAAATAATTTTGGGAACGGCAAAATAGCCATTTCAAATATTTTGATTAAGTATACAACTATTTCAGAACGCATCCAAGTTAAACAAACGTCAATAGTTTATTACACAGCTGTGTAGAGTTGTCCGTGCTGCCTGCCCTAATATAAAGAAGGAATAAATGGAAGAGTAATGTAATACAGTTAGGCCTACATTAATCAATAAAAGTAAAAAATAATTTTTTGTCATCACATGGACAGTAATTGGTTGTATACATTTACAAACTTATGACATGAGTTTCCAAGTCTACTCATTTCCTTAGTTCTCTTTCCAAAATAATGTATACTTATAATTAGGAATTAATATAAAAAACCAAAAATAAAAATAAACTTGTATCATGATTCATTTAGGTTCCATTAATTTTAGTTTTAATATTATAAAGTTGTTCCTCAACTTAAATTATTGGTCTGGCAGACACGCTCGCCGCGGGAGCGGGTCGCCGTGCCGGCCGCTATGTCTAGTGACAAACGTAGAAAACACTCCCTTCTGTTTACTTCATACACCACTACGCAGTGGCAGCACTAAAGCTGAAAGATTCTTTTGCTAGGTTAAAATCAAGAAGGAAAGTGTGAACTAAATACTTACCACTGTACCAAACTTAACTAATTTAAAATAGTATATTATTCTTTCAGTAAAAGTACGTAATTTTTCTTTGCGATTCATGTGTTTTTTGTAAGAAAAAAATTGTTTAAGAAAACATATTTCTTTCATTTCAAATCAAAGCCAATAGCAAGTCTCTCAAGTGGATCTGACTAATAGTGTTTAATGAAAAGCGTTATAAGAACCATTGTATACAGACGATTTTGTGTGCCGTTTAAAGCCGCAAAATGGGATTGTAAAAATACTGATTAGATAAAAAAAAATGGTGCATTCCGTGTAGGCCTATCCAAGTCAGAATGTTTTGCAAAAAAACCGCAAAAAAAACTTCCGTTAAAAGGGGTCGAAATAGTATATTTCGTACCTAGGGCCGAAAATGAGGTTTCGCCGGCTCGAGATAGTTTTTAGGTTCGAGACGAAGTCAACCTAAAACGATCGAGAGCTGCAAAACCATTTCGGTCCGTGGTACGAACGCCATTTTCCACCACACTATACCTTAATAGCACTATTCACCACAATAATGATGCACACTGATAGTCAACACAACTAGAACTTTAAGGTTATGTGAAGAAATAATTTGAGGAATCAGCAAAAATTAAAATAAATAGTTGCTAGGCAACGGTGAAAATAAAACAATTCTTCATAATGTAGTTGTTTTTCTAAACCACGTTAGCTAATCAATAAAAGGTTACATTACCTGCAGACTGCCTTGTGGGTTTTGTTAATCCAGTAGGATTACGTACGTTTCGGCAAATATATTGCCATCATCAGATCCCAGAACTTGAAGGTTAAAATCTTGATTTTTCGACACACATGGTCACGTCAAAGTTTAAAATAGAACACATACACAAAACGAACATTAAATACATGTAGGCCTACTATTAAAAAACCGAACAGGATGTAATATGATGCACGCATCTCTCTTGCCGAGTCTCGACTGGTAGTCGTCAGGTCCTGTGAACTGGACTCTGACCCCAAGGCATCCTGTATCATAAGTGTCGGTCTCTGTCCAGTTGTATTAAAGTTTCAAATAATAAATTTGATTCAAGTGTACTTTTATCATTGAGTACGTCCTGAGGGCGGGTTTTTGTGGCCTTATAAATTTCGTAATTTTCCAGAGTTGTCATAGTTGTTCCTTTACAGCAGATATGTAACGCTTTTAAATTGTTACCTAAATCAGTGTAATTATGATTTTCGTTCACAAGATGTTCTGCGAAATTTGACTTTTGTGACTTAGTAGCTCTGGGAAGATGTTCTTTAAACCTTTTTCCAAAGGATCGCCCTGTTTGACCTATGTAAATTTTATCGCAGTCATTACATGAAACTTGATAAATTCCGGTTTTCTCTTGTAATTCCTTAACATTTTTTCTAGTGTTTAACATTTTCCCTAATTTATTGCTTGTCCTAAATGCTAATACTTTGCCATGTTTTTTTATTTCATGTTTGAGAGACATAGGAAATGAGCTGCCGTATTCGACTGGGACATAATCGGAATTTTTCCTGTTAGCAATGTTTGTTTTTGACATATTATTAAGTTGTTTTTTTATTAAATTGTCGATAATGGCAGGGCTGTACCCATTGGCTATTGCGATGTGTTTTAGTATGTTTTTCTCTTCCTGATAAGCTTCTGGTTTTAACGGCACTTTTAACAAGCGATTCACGAAGCTATTGTAAGCTGCCATTTTGTGTGATAAGGGATGATGAGACGTTGCATGAATCGTTGTATCTGTAGTCGTGGGCTTTCTATAAATTTTAAACAAGAACTTGCCATTATCTTTTTTCAGGGTGATGTCGAGAAAATTTAGTTCATTATTTGTTTCTAATTCTGTGGTAAACTTTAATTTAGGATGAGCGTTGTTTGTGTAGTTATTGAATAGAGCCAACTGTCTTTGGCTTCCATGATATAAAAGGATTATGTCGTCGACATATCTAGCGAAAGATCGAGCCAAAGACAGTTGGCTCTATTCAATAACTACACAAACAACGCTCATCCTAAATTAAAGTTTACCACAGAATTAGAAACAAATAATGAACTAAATTTTCTCGACATCACCCTGAAAAAAGATAATGGCAAGTTCTTGTTTAAAATTTATAGAAAGCCCACGACTACAGATACAACGATTCATGCAACGTCTCATCATCCCTTATCACACAAAATGGCAGCTTACAATAGCTTCGTGAATCGCTTGTTAAAAGTGCCGTTAAAACCAGAAGCTTATCAGGAAGAGAAAAACATACTAAAACACATCGCAATAGCCAATGGGTACAGCCCTGCCATTATCGACAATTTAATAAAAAAACAACTTAATAATATGTCAAAAACAAACATTGCTAACAGGAAAAATTCCGATTATGTCCCAGTCGAATACGGCAGCTCATTTCCTATGTCTCTCAAACATGAAATAAAAAAACATGGCAAAGTATTAGCATTTAGGACAAGCAATAAATTAGGGAAAATGTTAAACACTAGAAAAAATGTTAAGGAATTACAAGAGAAAACCGGAATTTATCAAGTTTCATGTAATGACTGCGATAAAATTTACATAGGTCAAACAGGGCGATCCTTTGGAAAAAGGTTTAAAGAACATCTTCCCAGAGCTACTAAGTCACAAAAGTCAAATTTCGCAGAACATCTTGTGAACGAAAATCATAATTACACTGATTTAGGTAACAATTTAAAAGCGTTACATATCTGCTGTAAAGGAACAACTATGACAACTCTGGAAAATTACGAAATTTATAAGGCCACAAAAACCCGCCCTCAGGACGTACTCAATGATAAAAGTACACTTGAATCAAATTTATTATTTGAAACTTTAATACAACTGGACAGAGACCGACACTTATGATACAGGATGCCTTGGGGTCAGAGTCCAGTTCACAGGACCTGACGACTACCAGTCGAGACTCGGCAAGAGAGATGCGTGCATCATATTACATCCTGTTCGGTTTTTTAATAGTAGGCCTACATGTATTTAATGTTCGTTTTGTGTATGTGTTCTATTTTAAACTTTGACGTGACCATGTGTGTCGAAAAATCAAGATTTTAACCTTCAAGTTCTGGGATCTGATGATGGCAATATATTTGCCGAAACGTACGTAATCCTACTGGATTAACAAAACCCACAAGGCAGTCTGCAGGTAATGTAACCTTTTATTGATTAAAACAATTCTATTGCAATGCTATGGATACTGATTGTGTATTTAATGCATTCATGTTTAAAAAAGTAAGCGATCAGCTGATTTTGCGGCCCTAGGGATGTAAGAACCTACTCGGTCCCCAAATGACGATGACAGCTGGCATGGCCAGCAAAACGTAACTTTCAGCCACCAATTAACGCATGTAAAACAGCTAAAAACATCATAGTGTGGTGAAAAGTTATTAAATTTGTTGATGCAGCATGCAATATTACCGATTATTTTTCCACAAAACCAGCTGACAGGGCATGTATTGGCCATTGGGGTGATATTAGTGAGGTCGTGGAGTGCGTTGAAAAGCGGGAGGGGCGGCGGCAAACTTTGTTGCCTAGAGGCGGCAGATACTTAAATACGTCCCTGGATGCGATACTCCCTGGTGTGGATTAACGTCCGCACGAGAGAGTACTACGACTATCCGCAGTACTATCCTGATAATTAGACCAATTCGTATATACCAAGGCAAAAATGTGGTTCGGATTCCACTATAAACTGTAGGTCCCTTAGTTGCCATTAGCTGTATGGGCTATTAATTAACAGCTGTGTCTAAGGAATGTCAGCCTTAGTCACTAACAAGACTACAAGATCGCGCCACTCATCCTACACTCATCTCCATTCATACTTGGCTTAAAATACCTACTTTGTATGGTCGCCATTTCATAAGAAAGTATTAAAGTATTCAAACCTTTATTTAAAGCTATATCACGACCATAGGCTTAAGTTAATTGCTTGAATACCACTCTTCGTCGGAATCGTTGCATTGCAAGTTTTTTTAAAGAATTGACTTGTTTAGCATTAACAAAATGCCGTCTTAAACACTTTTAGCAAATTTATGCCTTTACTAAATGCTCACGTTTGTGGCCGTGGCCGCCGTGGGACTGAAACAAAACAATTCAACTCACCGAGCATTCATGAAAAAAAAAACATGGCCATTGATTCCAATTCAGGGTCAAAAACATGAACTCCATACAGTACGTGATACCATAGATTAAACGCCTTTAGTAGATTTGTCATCGTTTTGGATTAGCCTAGCTGAAAACAATTCTTTTTATTTAAGGAGAACGTTTTATCTAGGCCTATAGTTAAACCTAGTTTATCCAAAATAAAACAATCTAATCAATAAAAATAGGTCGTCTCCTGTTTATATCAAAAGAAATTAAAACCCACATCATAGAACTACCGGTAACCCTAAAATAATAGAAATAAAATTACGTGATAATTAACGTCAAGTGTCACCAACATAAACTAGACATTGACAAATTTTGAATTAACAATGTCATAAGAAGTCGACTTGAGTGAGTTATATTTAATCTATGGTTGTACTGCATCTAGGCTTTGACTATTCAATGATCTAGGTAATATTTCCAAAGCAAAACAGTGCAATATTCCGGCCAACCATACCGATCCTTAGGTCTGAGGAGAAAATTACAGCATTGAAGGTGCTTTGGAGGGTATTAAATTTTTCTAAAATCTAATGCAAACTGAAATTAATATTTTTTCATAAATTTTAAAGGTAAATTCATTGTTGTTTTGATATTCAACACAACGTATTATATATTTTTATTAGTTAATAACTTTTGTTTTGTGAAGTGAGGGTGGTAACAATGTCTACCACGCATGCGCCCCTAATCACTCTGATCAGTAGTGCCGAGTCCGAGCTAGAATAGTGGCAGTGCAGTGGCAATACGATGCGTACCGCTAGGGCGCTCGTCAACGTCAACATCCCTACAGCCTACTCCCACATAACCGGTGTTCGCTACTAATTTTGTAACGAAATTGATGCGTAGTTCTGAAAAATAAGTTTAAGTTTCCTAACAATTATTTCTTCTTATGAACCTCAGAATCACAACGCTTAAACAGGCAGTTTTTTGTTATCAACTAAGACTATTTATTTTCATTTTTAGATATGAAAAAATCCTCTCGGTCGTGCGCCCTCTGGGACCTTGCGCCCATGGATTTAAAAAATAACATTATGTAAATATTTTAGGGTATTGAGCTATGACAAGAGGCTGTGAAGGGAGTCACAACCTCAAACCTATAAAGTTCTAGATTACGTAATTAAGTGAGATTAAATGGACTAGCCTATTTACAAGCAAATATAATTGAAAAATTCATTAAAAGATACGTAGAAATGTGTAATTTGCAAATTTATGCAAAAATTTCTGGGAGGGGCCTAGGACCCCCCCTTTTTTGATGGGGGGTATTCCAGACCCCCCGGTAGGTCCGGCGCCACTGTCGCCCAGTGGAAATCCCTTAAAATTTGCTCTGCTTAAAATGCACCTAACAATAACCTTAAATATAGGATAACGAAAATAAAAATAAAGCTGTTACAAAAGAAGGCCATTTGGTAAGTGTCTGATCAATTTTCAAAGTTATTAATAAAAAATACTGTGCAAGGTGGCCCCTGTTGGGCCCCTATATGGGAAATTCGCTAAAAATCAAAACAAATGTAAGAAATTACAATCACATGTTTTATTTACAGCGTGTGGTGAATGTAGAGAAAAATTAAATTTGTCGTAGTTGATGTGAGCTACCAACAGATTGCTCTGATCTAAATAAATAATTTATTTTGAATACACAATGCTTTTTACCAATTCAAACTTCTGAAATGACTTATTATGAGCTATAGCAACTGTTATGACCCATATACTTTGTCAGCAACAAAAAATAAGGTAGAAAATAGAATTTTAGACACGCATTCTGTGACAGAACTATGTTTTCAATAAAAAAAATGGCGACAGCTGGTCCATATAGATGGGATGTCTACTTCAGTATCCAATAGTCAATTTCGAGTGGTCGAGTTTCGACCACTGGACGACCACTAGTATCCATAAACAAGCAAACCAAGCCCTACAAAATTGTTTTTGTATCTATAAGAATAACTTGGGAATTTTAAATTTAAACTTTTTTTAATTATCTCCGAAACCGTTAGGCGTACAACAACGCTCCAATATAAAAAATTATTTATTTTTTCAAGCTTTACAAAATGGTTTGGAAAGAAATTGTGAAATTTTGTGGTTTTAGGGGGGAAATGGGAATAACCAACTTTAACCCAATGAAACCCCCCATATACCCCTGTTCCCATAGTCCGATCATGCTGGTTCGCAAACTTGTTCGAATAAACGTAAATTTATACGTTTGTACCAAATATCATCAAAATCGGATAATTTTGCTCGAGTTATCGCGCTATTGCCATGATACCAACGGTAATAGCTTATTCCCTATATGGGGAATTCGCTAAAAAAAAAAACGAAAAAAGCAAACCATCGACAGAACTGATTTTGCTTCTTCTATATTTTGTATTGGTTTTTCATCATATCCTTGTGGTGATACTTAATGTTTAAAGCCTGTTTCTTAATCATATGTTTAATTTTGTATGTTAATTAATGTTTTCAAGTTTTTGTAAACAACATTTATTGTATCTTCTATCAAACACAAACGAAAGAGCTTGCTGATCAGTATACAGTTTGAATGAGGAATGATTTCCATTTTCTTTGGGCTTCAACGATTGCAGCGGCTTCCTTTTCAACTGCCGGATACAATTTCTCAGATTTATTTAAAGTCCTGGAGAAAAAAGCTATCAGTCTATTATTTTGACTTTAGGTTGCTGCCAGAGCTACATCTGAAGCGTCCGTTTCCACCACCAGCGGTTCTTGTCCATCTCTTGGAGTAATAAGTGCATTGGCTATGTCTAGCTTCAGATTTTCAAAGTCTCTAACCGCTTCATGTGACAATGGAAATGACCTAACTTGAGTCAGATTCCTTATCCTGTCTGAAAATCGATGGATCCATTTAGAATAATGGGCAAAAAATCCCAAAACTCGCTTTAATGCAATCTGACCTTTTGGTACTGGAAGGATGACCACTTTGGTTTCAACAAATCAATCAATTTATTAAATATTTGATCATCTATTGTTCTCAGTTGAACATGGTTTCTGAGTAATGTGAATTTGTAGTAGTCCTAATTGGGTTTGTTTTTAAATCGGGAATAGCCTGATTATCCACCATATCAGCAAAGTTATCACTTAAAACATTTGAAACAATATCAGGTTCACAATCTTCCCACTGTTAAAAGACCAGTAGCGTATAACTAATTTTTTCGTGCCCCTCTCCAAACTTAGTTTTTGAACCCCCTCATGGGATATTATTAGACCGCCGATACAACATAATCAAACGCCCTCCCCCCAGAGTTATTTTTGGACCACCGATACAATGAGTAAGTGGTATTTTTTTTTCCTTTTATAAGTATAGGCCTAGATACCTAGATAGATTTTACAAAACAAATTATTTTACCTAACCCGCCATGTTAAACTTCCCTATCCCAAGCGTGATGTATACAGCTTCCTTACTTCTCGAGTGATGTAAAGTTGAAAAAAACTCACTCGGTGATGTAATGAAACCCATTTAAATAACATTGAGTGGATAACTTAAAAAAATATACCTCTATGGAGCCAACGACGTTCAACGCTAGAAATCAGCTGCGTGTTTGAATTTTATTGTTATGCTTTGAAGAATTTTCCTAACCTAGCTTTTGTTTGTAAATGAACGTTACTGTTAGAAGATGAGTGAAATTGATAATGAAGCATATTGCTCGTAACCTCCTGAATATTGTCGGGTCAGGTAAAATCTTGTACGTTACACGTTACGCAAGAGCGTGTTTACATCACTTCGGTGAATTATGCAACTCGCCTTCGCTCGTTGCACAACATTCACCTGCGTGATGTAAAAACGCTCTTACTACACTTGTAATGTAAATAGCTATTACATCATACTACACAGAAACAGATACTTATCCATCCGTTTTGATAGGCTGAAAAATTGCCCTTTACTATGTCGAAACACGGAAAAGTAACATTATGTACTTTTACTATGCACTTAGTCAGCTGATGAAATTAACAGCTATCCCTACCTGCAACGGCCTGTTTTATTTTCTGAAACATAAAAATATTATAATTTATGTCCTAAATAAATTGTGTTGTGTTTAAAATTTACTAATTATTATGTGTATTATGATGTAAAGTATCGTACTTTACTCGCCCGGTAAGCTTTAATGTACCGACTACGCCTCCAGCAGGAACTGTTGTGCTCGCACGGTAAAACACCACTTACCGGGCTAGTAACATAATATACTACTATTACATTTAGGCCTACTGTATTTCCCACAAAATTATGACAAGAATTTTTTACTGTTGCAGACTTTCTAATAGATGATCTACAACATCGAGACACTCAGTTTATGAACTGTATACAACCTACTGAAATGTTAGCCATGACTTTGAGGTAAGCTTTAATTTCCTATCTGTAAAATATTTAAATAGGCTATATTTTTTTAGAGTTATTTTCATTTATAGTAGCCTACATTGTGCAGTGATGGGAGTAAAGTGAAATTCCACTTCTAATGAAGTAAATTCCACCTACTTCAGAATCAAAATGGGAAAAAATCAATACAACTTTAGAACAGTAAATGCTTTATCGGAGTCTGTTACAAATTGAATTTCATTCAAGCCAAGCACAAATTGTATATCCCTTCGAGTGTCCATAGTTTAGGCCTTAATGTCCGCCTATTTTTGGCGCATTTGCAAGGTTTTATTAAAACGGATCTGAGAAGCTTAAAACAATGTTAATTATACTGTTCTATATACCATTTTGTTTGGAAAATCATTGGCTTCAATATTATACATAAAACATAAGGAACATTTGTTTCAAAAAAATTTTTTAGGTAAAAAAAAATATTTTGGAAAATTAAAAAAAAAAATTAGTTCGCGCTCAATGAAATTGTATAAATTATAGGCCTATAAATATTTGAAAATAGCCACTTTGTTCTAAATTTTATGAGGATTACAAATATATAATAATATAAGGAAGTAGATTTGCAAATAAATAAGTTATGGGCAAAAAACAGATTTCAGTACATAGCGTTTAGCTAAGAATGCATAGCCTAACCATAGCTAGGAATCTGGCTGATAATTTACATCAATATCACTACCTACTTCTTCAGGATCATCAACCAGCCCTTCAAAATCACTTAAATCTTCTTATAATGCACCACGTATATCACTACTTTTGATTTTTAACACTAAAACAATGATAAACGTAATAAAACACATCAGTCATCGGTCCGAGGGTAACCTAGCTGCTTACAAATACGCACGTCAGCTGTCTGCTACAATTACGATCGGCTCGGAGAACATAAAGCGCTTAGAGACAGACCTCTGGAGAAAGTGTAGAATATAACGAAAAGAACGATACCTAACTCGATCCAGTTCAATCCGATTCAGTCAGTCATAGAGCCTTCGCCGTAAACGATGTTCGTGCGTCGAAAAATCGATGCGTGACACTACACAAAGTGTGTCGCGCGTCGATTTTTCGACGAGTGAAGCTCGGAGGGATATACAAAATAGGAAAAACAAAATAATCTATTCCAAAGTTTCCTGAAATCTTTATAGTGTGGGTCTTAATTATAGATTCAAGAAAGCTATACATTTTGAGTGACAAAACTATGTGGCTATTAAGAGTTTTACTTAAACAATGGAATTGTATTGAGGTATGGTTCTTATTTCTGGTATGATTATTATGACTATCTACTATCTTTATCACTACTCTCCAACAATTGTTTCAAATATTAATCTAAAGAAAATATTAAGTTTTGTGATTTATCTTAGTTTAGCAAAAGTTTATTACTATGAAACCAATTTTGTGCATTATTTAATGTTTCATCAGCCAATTTTACAAGCTCTTTATAGTTTTCACTCGTAGATAAAAAGGAAGAATCTTTGTGTACAGGATGATTTTACAATAAACATCAGAGGGTAGATTATTTATATAACAAATAAAGACAATAAGGAGGCCAAGGACTGTACCTTGTGGCACTCCCCATTCAACTTTAACTTCATCTGACCATCTTCCTCTTTTACAAACTGCTTGTTTCCGATGTTGTATTTAGCTTTTTAAAAAAGATAATGGGAACTTTTTCACCTAGACTTGATCAGATCTAGCCGCGCGCACAGAAACTATATCACAATGGTAACCTACATCTGTTCTTTGTTAAAAATTTCATGATTTAAATTAAATCTGTAAGGGAGAAAAACTGTTGCAAGAAGGTCTGAAGGCTTAAATTTAAGAAAGTTTTTAAAATGTAATAGCCTACATTTTGTACATATTTGATTACATTAATTTTAATTACATTTGTAAATCAGATTTTGGATTAGTATGATGATCTCGATCCAGTATACATTTTTGTAATGTTTTTAACTCATTGTTTATTTAACCTAAATAAAAAAATTAACCTAAATATTTACAATAAATTTACTTGTCTAATAAAATATGGTTGTTTTCAGAAATTGCAATACACTATCTCAGACCTGATGAAAAGGAACTTCAATTTGGCGCAGAGAAGCTAATTTAGACCATCTCAAATATAATAGATACCTAAAAAGGCTAGTAAGTTTCTATTACACTTATAAAACAAATGGAAGCCAACAATTCACTCTGTAAAATTACTTGTTAAATCATAATTCACATTTATGTCTTTAAGTGTAATAATATTTAAAACCAACACAATTACCGATTTTTTACTTAACAGTTAATACGATAAGAAATCTCATTTAAGACAAGCAAAAATAGTTTCTAAATTATGTTATAAAATCTCATATCGATAACAAATTTTAAGGACGAGACTATTCAAAGTTTAATTATACACCTTAACAAAAAACTAAATAAATATCATACAATAGGCCTGCATATCATTTAGTTATAATCTTGATTATAGTTAGTTAGTTGCTTGTTTCATAAGTTTCAAAAAGTCAGAAAGTGTAAAATAAAAAATGTCAAAGGTCATTACAAATCTTTCTTTTAAGTGTCTAATATGTAGAAAAATATTTTCAACTCAATGGAAAATGAAAAATCATATATATGTACATACAGGTGAGCGTCCCTTTAAATGTTTGACATGAGAGAAAACATTTATTCACCTACATAAAGTAAAGTGTCATTTGTTGACAAAAGATAAGTGTCCTTATAAGTGCACCATATGTGGTAAATCCTTCACAACCCAAAACTATATGATGAAACATACATTGGTTCACACCGGAGAAGGACCTCATAAGTGCACCATATGTGGAAAATCCTTCACAACCAATAGCAGTAAAAAGGTTCATGCATTGGATCACACCGGAGAAGTACCTTATAAGTGCACCATATGTGGAAAATCCTGCAAAACCAGTAGCATTATGAAGACACATACATTAACTCACACCGCAGAGCGATCTTTTAAGTGTAGTATTTGTGGAAAATCCTTCACAACCAGTAGCATTTTGAAGAGACATACATTGGCTCACGTCGGAGAGCGATCTTATAAGTGTACAATTTGTGGAAAAGCCTTCACAACCAAATGCTATATGAAAATTCATACATTGATTCATACGGGAGAGAGACCTCATAAGTGCTCTATATGTGGAAAATCCTTCACAACCAAAAACTATATGAGAAGACATACATTGCTTCACACGGCGGAGCGACGTCACAAGTGCACTATATGTAGAAAATCCTTCACAACCGATACTATTATGAAGCAACACACATTGATTCATACTAGAGAGGGATCTTATAAGTGCTCTATATGTGGTAAATGCTTCATAACCAAAAACCATATAAGGAAACATACATTGGTTCACACAGAAGAGGGACCTCATAAGTGCACTATATGTGGAAAATCCTTCCCAACCAAATACTATATGATCAAACATGCATTGGTGCACACGGAAGAGCAACCTCATAAGTGCACTATATGTGGAAAATCCTTCCCAACCAAATACTATATGATCAAACATGCATTGGTGCACACGGAAGAGCGACCTTATAAGTGCACTAAATGTGGAAAATCATTCACAACCAAATACTATATGATCAAACATGCATTGGTGCACACGTAAGAGCGACCTTATAAGTGCACTAAATGTGGAAAATCATTCACAACCAATGCTATAATGAAGCAACACACATTGGTTCACACCAAAGAGCGACCTTATAAGTGCAATATATGCGGAAAATCCTTCAAAACAAAAAATATAATGAAGGTTCATACATTTGTTCACAGCAAAGAGCGACCTCATAAGTGCACTATATGTGGAAAATCTTTCAAAACCAATGTCTATTTGAAGTCACATATGTTTGTTCACACGGAAGAGCGACCTCATCAGTGCACTATATGTGAAAAATCCTTCACAACCAATGCTATAATGAAGCAACACACATTGGTTCACACCAAAGAACGGCCTTATAAGTGCAATATATGTGGAAAATCCTTCACAACCAATGCTATAATGAAGCAACACACATTGGTTCACACCAAAGAACGGCCTTATAAGTGCAATATATGTGGAAAATCCTTCAAAACCAAAAAAATAAGGAAGGCTCATACATTAGTTCACAGCGGAGAGCGACCTCACAAGTGCACTATATGTGGAAAATCCTTCAAAACCGATATCTATTTGAAGTCACATATGTTAGTTCATACAAGAGAACGTCTGTAAATGCACTACATACGGGAATCATTTTTGCATACCATAGCTATATAAAGACATATTCATTAGTTCACACAGGGGAGGGACCACATATGTGTACTTCTGCTTGTAGTTGTGGAAAATCCTGCACAACCAATACTAAAATAAAGAAATATTCATCGGTTCACACAGGATAGAGAGCTCTTAAGAGTATTGGTGTCTAGGAAAAATTCCATAATCGTCACTTTCGTTTTTATTACTATGAAACCAATTTTGTGCATTATTTAATGTTTCATCAGCCAATTTTACAAGCTCTTTATAGTTTTCACTCGTAGATAAAAAGGAAGAATCTTTGTGTACAGGATGATTTTACAATAAACATCAGAGGGTAGATTATTTATATAACAAATAAAGACAAGAAGGAGGCCAAGGACTGTACCTAGTGGCACTCCCCATTAAACTTTAACTTCATCTGACCATCTTCCTCTTTTACAAACTGCTTGTTTCTTATGTTGTATTTAGCTTTTTTAAAAAAGATAATGGGAACTTTTTCACCTAGACTTGATCAGATCTAGCCGAACGCACAGACACTTTGGCACAATTGTAACCTACATCTGTTCTTTGTTAAAAATTTCATGATGTACTTTTGCTAGAAGGTCTAAAGGCTTAAGGCTTGAAAAGTTGTTAAAATGCAATACATTTTGTACATATTTGATTCAGTGGCGGATCCAGAAGGGGAGCGAAGGGGACAACCGCCCCCCCCCCCCTCGAGCATACATATATGTATATATTTTACTGCATGAAATACAATAGTTCATACTGTACACATTGCGTAAAATAATTCGTCACACTAACTTTGGAAAAAGAAATGGTATAAAACTGCCATTTTGGAGACTTAGTTTACACAAATTTTTCAGGGGGATACACCCGACCCTCAGACCCCCCGGTTCGCCCCTCTCCTTTGTGACTGTTCTACATCTGCTACTGATTTGATTACATAAATTTTAATTGAATTTATAAATCATATTTTCGAAAATTATAATGTTATTGATCCAATATACATTTTTGTAATGTTTTGAACTCACAAAAATTAACCTAAATATTTTCAATAAATGTACATATCTAATAAAATATGGGTGTTTTCAGAAATGGCAATAAACTTTCTCAGAAGTGTGAAAAGGAACGTCAATTCGGCGCAGAGAAGCTAATCTAGACCATCTCAAATATAATAGGTTACTAAAAAAACAGCTAGAAAGGCTAGTAAGTTTCTATTACACTTAAAAACAAATAGAAGTCAGCAATTCACTCTGTAAAATTATATGTTAAATCATAATTAACATTTATGTCTTTAAGTCTAATAATATTTAAAACCAACACAATGACAGATTATTTTACTGAACAGTTAATAAGATAAGAAATCTTATTTAAGACAAGCAAAAAATTTTCTAAATTATGTCATATCTCATATCAATAACAAATTTCGAGGAAGAGTCTATTCAAAGTTTAGTTATATACACCTTGACGTAACAGAAGAAATATCATACAATAGGCCTACATAGTATTTAGCTACAATCTTGATTATAGTTAGTTGCTTGTTTGATAAGTTACACAGAGTCTGAAAGTGCAAAGTAAAAAATGTCAAAGGTCATTAAAAATCATTCTTTTAAGTGCCTAATATGTAAAAAAATGTTTTCAAATAAATTGACATTGAAAAATCATATATATGTACATACAGGTGAACGTCCCTTCAAATGTTTTACATGTGAGGAAACATTTATTAACCGATATGAAGTAAAGTGTCATTTGTTGACCCATAATAAGTGTCCTTATAAGTGCACCATATGTGGTAAATCCTTCACAACCAAAAACTATATGATGAAACATACATTGGCTCACACCGGAGAGGGACCTCATAAGTGCACCATATGTGAAAAATCCTTCACAACCAGTAGCAATTTAAAGAAACATACATTGACTCACACCACAGAGCGATCTTATCAGTGCACTATATGTGAAAAATCCTTCACAACCAATTATAATATGAAAATTCATACATTGATTCACACGGGAAAGAGACCTTATAAGTGCACTATTTGTGGAAAATCCTTCAAAACCAAAATCAGTATGAGGAAACATACATTGGTTCACACGGAAGAGCGACCTCATAAGTGTACTACATGTGGAAAATCCTTCAAAACCAGTACTATAATGAAGAAACACACATTGGTGCACATCAAAGAGCGACCTTATAATTGCAATATCTGTGGAAAATCCTTCAAAACCAAAAATATAATGAAAGGTCATACATTGGCTCACACCACAGAGCGATCTTATAAGTGCACTATTTGTGGAAAATCCTTCACAACCAATTACTATATGAAAATTCATACGTTGATTCACACGGGAAAGAGACCTCATAAGTGCACTATATGTGGAAATTCCTTCAAAACCAATGATGTAATGAAGAAACACACGTTGGTTCATTCCGAAGAGCGACCTTATAAGTGCACTATATGTGGAAAATCCTTCACAACCAATAATGTAATGAAGAAACACACGTTGGTTCATACCGAAGAGCGACCTTATAAGTGCACTATATGTGGAAAATCCTTCAAAACCAAAATCAGTATGAGGCAACATACATTAGTTCACACGGAAGAGCGACCTCATAAGTGTACTATATGTGGAAAATCCTTCAAAACCAGTACTATAATGAAGGGACACACATTGGTTCACATGGAAGAGCGACCTTATAAGTGCACTATATGTGGAAAATCCTTCAAAACCAGAACAATAATGAAGGGACACACATTGATTCACATGAAAGAGCGACCTTATAAGTGCACTATATGTGGAAAATCCTTCAAAACAAGTACTATAATGAAGGGACACACATTGGTTCACATGGAAGAGCGACCTTATAAGTGCACTATATGTGGAAAATCCTTCAAAACCAAAAACCATTTGAAGACACATATGTTAGTTCATACCAGAGAACATCTGTAAGTGCACTATATGTGGTAAATCCTTCACAACCAAAAACTATATGAAAAGACATACATTGGTTCACAGCAGAGAGCGACCTCATAAGTGCACTATATGTGGAAAATCCTTCAAAACCAAAAACTATTTGAAGACACATACGTCATACCAGAGAACATCTGTAAATGCATTACATATGGGAATTATTTTTGCATACCAAAGCTATATGAAGACACATTCATTAGTTCAAACAGGGAAGGGACCTCATATGTGTACTTCTGCTTGTGGTTGTGGAAAATACTTTACAACCAATACTTCACACAGGATAGAGACCTCTTAAGAGTATTGGTGTCTAGGGAAAATTCCATCATCATCACTCTTGTCCTCATGTAATAATGAGGTGGTGCACAAAAGCATAGCAGCAATAATCATTTAAAGTGATGCATTGCTAAGATACAAATCTTCATTGTTCATTCCATGTTTTTATAAAACGGTTAGTTGTATATAGAACTGATTATTTTTTAGGATAATTATTTTATAATGTTTTAATATATGAAAACTGACAACTTTGATATAATATTAAAGAACTTTCCAGAGATTTTATCTTAAGTGTGTATTGATCTAAAAAGCCAGTTTTGTTAAGTTTTTGTAAATTTTTCCATTTCAATGTAAATTGTAAGAAATACATTATGTTTGGGCGTTAAAAATTATTCATACATGTAAACCCACTACATTGATTATGTGTGTCAGATAAACAATCTGATATATTAGTTTAAGTTTTTTTTTTTATTTGTTAGTTAAATATGTCTTGTGAAAATTAAAAATTAACTGCTTTTGTGTTTGATGTCATTCAGGTAATAGAAATAAAACCTATAAGTGATATTTGTCTCAACCCCAGACCATTTACCTAATTTTCTTTCATAGAAAATGTATGCTTAGCTCAACAAAGGCAGAAAATAATACAAAGAAGGACCTGTTATTTAAAAGACAGAGTTAACAAGATTACTTACGAGGGTCGTTTTTTTTTTAAGTATGGGCCGTTTTTGTTTTGTGTATAGCTCCTTAGTTCGCAAATGACACCATTTGCAGCCCTATAGCTGATGTTTATGCTTCAATGTGTGTTTAAAAAATGTTAAAATTATTGAATTGTACGAGATAAGGACAGTTATCACATGAAACATATCCGACGAAGCTCATCGCCAGACGACTGATGGTTATGGCCCTTATACAATGAGGGAGGGTAAAGTGCGGATATTGGTTACAAGGGAAAGATTGCTGGTTCATGCTGAAAGGATTGCTTCTTGGTTCATTAGTCAATTCAGTTACCGTTTGCCACCAAAGTTGATTGATATACATATTACATACCAAATTTAATGTCAGCTGTAACTCATTTTTGGAAGACATGGGTTTTGGCCCCCATAATCATTTGTCAGAGGGGTCATACTATCAATCTCACACAAAACAAAACCCACACAAAGACAAATTACATGAAATGATGAAAATCAGGTTTAGATTTATTACCTAACAGTGGTCAGAAGAGAACACAGGTGATGTTCTTCATCATTTTTTCATTGCTCGATGTAAGATTTTGGCCTATTAAAATCCCTGCAAACCATAAAGGGTATATGGAAGTAAACCGTAAACCATATAGTTCCTTCCATGTTATATTGTACTACATATAACACCTTAGTTAATAACTCATTGAAATGAAATGAAATATTCTTTAATGTCTTTTGTATTTTTACAATCTATCAAAAATGTCATGAAATAGCTAAAATTATAGATTACGTTAGGTTAACAGGTTAAATTATAGGTTAATGGAAACAATACTTAAAGCTAACTAAACAAAATGAGAAATACTTATTTTAGGCCTAAATATCCTTTATCACTACTCTCCAACAATTGTTTTGAATTTTAATCTAAAGAAAATATTAAATTTTGTGATTTATCTTAGTTTAGCAAAAATTCATTACTATGAAACCAATTTTGTGCATTATTTAATGTTTAATCAGCCAATTTTACAAGCTCTTTATAGTTTTCACTCGTAGATAAAAAGGAAGAATCTTTGTGTGCAGGATGATTTTACAATAAACATCAGAGGGTAGATTATTTATATAACAAATAAAGACAAGAAGGAGGCCAAGGACTGAACCTTGTTGCACTCCCCATTCAACTTTAACTTCATCTGACCATCTTCCTTTTATACAAACTGCTTGTTTCTGATTTTGTATGTATTTTTTTAAAAAAGATAATGGATAATCCGGGTAGGGGTGAATGAGTCACGCTTAGTAGCAAGACACAAATGTTTTCAAAAAAGAAATGGTATAAAACTGCAATTTTGGAGACTTAGTTTACACAAATTTTTCAGGGGTATACTCCCGACCCTCAAGACCCCCCGGTTTGCCCCCCCCCCTTGTGACAGTTCTAGATCCGCCACTGATTTGATTACATAAATTTTAATTGCATTTATAAATCATACTAGTGGCTTGTAGGGACATGTCCCTAAAAAGCTCAAATGTAAAACAACATATTGCAATTCCGGTATTTAAACAAACTCAGAATAACATTATCTATGTGTCAGAATAGGCATCCCTACACCATATCTTTTGTGTAAAAACCAGTTTGTTGCTCTTCTTTGTTTGCTTTTGTTGATGTCATTTTCAATAAATAATTTGAATCACTCCAGTGGTTTAACATGAAAAGGCAGCAGACATATCATTGTTTGTGAATAAATACTGGTTTACTAAGGTAGCTTTGGTCTTGTGGATAGTGAGGATAAATAAAAGCTTCCCTGTTTGGAATTTTAAAAATTAATTGGAGGTTCGCCATCAGATCAATTGAAGAGGCCTGCAATTTCATCTGCAGTAGGCTTATTAAAAGAACGACGATCCATATTTATCCTGTCTACAAACCTAAGTTCTAATTCACTGTCACCTTGTACAACCATTTCTTCCGAAGCTCTTTTGTAAATTTGTGCAAATGAATTTTCTAATAGAATTTCAGCTAGTTTTGACAATATTTCAGGTTTTAAGTCACTATTTTCTCGACTCCTTTGACGAATTTCTGTTGCTGTTGATGTGTCAATAATGTACAATTGGCCATACACGGGGTCTTCATCATGTTGAGGCAGCAAATCTGAAATTGAACGATAAATCTGTCCTTGAATTTTGAAACAGTATTGTCCTTTTCCTGGAATATCTTTCTTACTGGCTGAAGAAAAAGCAAAAGCCATCGCACTGTTGTATTGTCGAATGAATTTATACAGTTGTGGGCTCTATTTCTCTCGTCTACCATGGGTCTCCTTAAAAGGGGTTGTATTGTAACATATCTTGATTAAGTTCGTCATTATCTACTCTTGCTCTTCTACGCGCACTGTCATTCCTATGAACAGTTACCCGCCTTTGTGGTCTACCCCTGGCGTTCATATTAATTACAGTACTTATAATGAAAAGAATATATATCTAGCAGCCTACATACCAAAACATCTTGAATCCCTGGTGATTTTATAAGAGTATGATCGAATATGATTACTCTACGTTGTATATTCACTGCACTAAAAAAATATTTACTTACGAAGGAATGCAAATACACCATTTTAGAACCAATAACATTTATAGGTTTATAGGTTATTTTAGTTGTATATATTAACACAACCTTATCCTTAAAATGTGTAGAAATATAAAGAAAACAACATCATTTAAAATAAACTTGAACATATGATTTAAAAATAAAAACAAAACGGTAGTTAGATTTAATTTCGACTCTTTGATTATTTATACAGAATATTTATTCTATGTCGTTTATTCCTTTAACACGACAATAACGTAAAAGCATGAAAAAATGAAACTTGAGTATATGATTTAAATATAAACAAAGAATGCAGACGTTTTTCCGGTTAATCTTCAAGATTTCAGTTTTATTTTAGTATACATTTCATAGTTGACAGGCTAAAAGTAAACCAAATGCGTGTATTGATCACTGTTTTCAAGATATAGCACGATCATCTGTATTGAAGTAAACAGAAATCAGCAGTAAATGACTTCTAATGCTATTCTTATGGAGAACATTTTTTGTTATATCTAATTTTGTATCAATATTTGGGGAATTTCACTATTTTTCCCGCCGTAACGGGGTCGAGACCTTTAATTTGAGCCCTCTCCCGTCCTTCTACGACTTCCCAGTCGTCCACAATTTTGACGCAAAGAATCGGCTTACGTAATTAATATATAGGCCTACATAGATTTTGGATTATTATGATGTTCTCAAACCAGTATACATTTTTGTAATGTTTTGAACTCACTGTTTAACCTAAATATTTACAATAAATGTACATATCTAATAAAATAATAAAATATGGGTGTTTTCAGAAATGGCAATACACTTTCTCAGACGTGATGTAAAGGAACTTCAATTCGGCGCAGAGAAGCTAATTTAGAACATCTCAAATATAATTGGTTACTTATGAAACCGCTAAAAAGGCTAGTAAGATTTTACTACACTTAAAAAAAACAAATGGAAGCCAGCAATTCACTGTGTAAAATTACATGTTGGATCATAATTAACATTTATGTCTTTAAGTGTAATAATATTTAAAACCAACACAATGACAGATTATTTTACTTAAAATTTAATAAGATAAGAAATCTCATTTAAGACAAGCAAAAAATGTCTAAATTATGTCATAAAATCTCATATCAATAACAAAGTTTGAGGACGAGGCTATTCAAAGTTTAATTATATACACCTTGACATAAAAATAAATACGGTATCATACAACACCACACAGGAGTTATAATCCTGATTATAGTTAGTTAGGTGCTTGTTGGATAAGTTTCACAAAGTCAGAAAGGTCAAAGTAAAAAATGTCGCAGGTCATTAAAAATATTTCTTTTAAGTGTCCAATATGTAGAAAAATATTTTCAACTCAATGGAACATGAAAAATCATATATATGTACATACAGGTGAACGTCCCTTTAAATGTTTAACATGTGAGGAAACATTTATAAGCCTATATAAAGTAAAGTGTCATTTATTGACACATGATAATTGTCCTTATAAGTGTACAATATGTGGAAAATCCTTCTTAACCAGTAGCATTATGAAGACACATACACTGGCTCACACTGGAGAACGATCTCATAAGTGTACTATTTGTGGAAAATCCTTCACAACCAATTGCGACATGAAAAGGCATACATTGATTCACACAGGAAACAGACCTCATAAGTGCACTATATGTGGAAAATCCTTCACAACCAATACTATAATGAAGCAACATACATTGGTTCACACGGAAGAGCGACCTTATAAGTGCACTATATGTGGAAAATCCTTTACAAACAAATACTATATGAGACAACATATATTGGTTCACACGGAAGAGCGACCTTATAAGTGCACTGTATGTGGAAACTCATTCAAAACCAAAAAATATATACGAAAACATACATTGGTTCACACGGAAGAGCGACCTTCTTATAAGTGCACTATATGTGGAAAATCCTTTACAAACAAATACTATATGAGACAACATATATTGGTTCACACGGAAGAGCGACCTTATAAGTGCACTGTATGTGGAAACTCATTCAAAACCAAAAATATAATGAAGGCTCATACATTGGTTCACAGCAGAGAGCGACCTCATAAGTGCAATATATGTGGAAAATCCTTCAAAACTAAAAATATAATGATAGCTCATACAGGGGTTCACAGCGGAGAGCGACCTCATAAATGTACTATATGTGGAAAATCATTCAAAACAAAAAATATGATGAAGGTTCATACATTGGTTCACAGCGGAGAGCGACCTCATAAATGCACTATATGTGGAAAATCCTTCAAAACCAATAACTATTTGAAGTCACACACGTTAGTTCATACAAGAGTCTATAAATGACATTGCCATGAATATTAATGTTGTAGATCCCACAAAGAGGATTTTTTTATTGGCAAAATACAACATTCTTGATTGTTAAAGGCATGCATTGCTAAGATACAAATCTTCATTGTTCATTTCATGTTTTTATAAAACGGTTAGTTGTATATAAAACTGATTATTTTAGGATAATTATTCTATAATGGTTTAATATATGAAAACTGACAACTTTAATATAATGTTAAAGAACTTTCCTGAGATTTTATCTTAAGTGTGTGTTGATCCAAAAAGCCAGTTATTTTAAGTTTTTGTACATTTTTCCATTTCAATTTAAGTTTAAGAAATACATTATTTTTGGGCGATAAAAATTATTCATACATGTAAACCCACTACATTGATTATGTGTGTCGGATAAACAATCTGATATATTAGTTTTTTTTTTTTTTTTATTTGTTAGTTAAATATGTCTTGTGAAAATTAACTGCTTTTGTGTTAGATGTCATTCAGGTACTAGAAATAAAACGGTGTATATATTTTACCGCATGAAATACAGTAGTGCATACACATTATGTAAAATAATTTTTCCCACTAACTTTTGAAAAAGAACTGTAATTGTATAAAACTGCCATTTGGGAGACTTAGTTTACACAAATTTTTCAGGGGGATACACCTGACCCTCAGACCCCCTGGTTTGCCCCTCCCCCTTGTGACTGTTCTACATCTGCTACTGATTTGATTACATAAATTTTAATTGAATTTATAAATCATATTTTGGATTATTATGATGTTATCGATCCAGAATACATTTTTGATATGTTTTGAACTCACAAAAATTAACCTAAATATTTACAATAAATTTACATATCTAATAAAATATGGGTGTTTTCAGAAATGGCAATAAACTTTCTCAGATGTTTGAAAAGGAACTTCAATTCGGCGCAGAGAAGCTAATTTAGACCATCTCAAATATAATAGGTTACTTAAAAAACAGCTAAAAAGGCTAGTAAGTTTCTATTAAACTACACTTAAAAACAAATAGAAGTCAGCAATTCACTCTGTAAAATTATATATTAAATCATAATTAACATTTATGTCTTTTAAGTCTAATAATATTCAAAACCAACACAATGACAGATTATTTTACTGGACAGTTAATAGGATAAGAAATCTTATTTAAGACAAGCAAAAAATTTCTAAATTATGTCATATCTCATATCAATAACAAATTTCGAGGAAGAGTCTATTCAAAGTTTAGTTATATACACCTTGACGTAACAGAAGAAATAGCATACATTAGGCCTATATAGTATTTAGCTACAATCTTATTTAGTTTATAGAATTGTATTATTATCTAGATTATAGTTAGTTGCTTGTTTGATAAGTTACACAGAGTCAGAAAGTGCAAAGTAAAAAATGTCAAAGGTCATTGAAAATCATTCTTTTAAGTGTCTAATATGTAAAAAAATGTTTTCAAATAAATTGACATTGAAAAATCATATATATGTACATACAGGTGAACGTCCCTTCAAATGTTTGACATGTGAGGAAACATTTATTAACCGATATGAAGTAAAGTGTCATTTGTTGACCCATAATAAGTGTCCTTATAAGTGCACCATATGTGGTAAATCCTTCACAACCAAACACTATATGATGAAACATACATTGGCTCACACCGGAGAGGGACCTCATAAGTGCACCATATGTGAAAAATCCTTCACAACCAGTAGCAATTTGAAGAAACATACATTGACGCACACCACAGAGCATTCTTATCAGTGCACTATATGTGGAAAATTCTTCAGAACCAATTACAATATGAAAATTCATACATTGATTCACACGGAAAAGAGACCTCATACATGCTCTATATGTAGAAAATCGTTCAAAACCAAATTCAGTATGAGGAAACATACATTGATTCACACGGAAGAGCGACCTCATAAGTGTACTACATGTGGAAAGTCCTTCAAAACCAATGATGTAATGAAGAAACACACATTGGTGCACATCAAAGAGCGACCTTATTATTGCAATTTATGTGGAAAATCCTTCAAAACCAAAAATTTAATGAAAGGTCATACATTGGCTCACATCACAGTGCGATCTTATAAGTGCACTATATGTGGAAAATCCTTCACAACCAATTACTATTTGAAAATTCATACATTGATTCACACGGGAAAGAGACCTCACAAGTGCACTATATGTGGAAAATCCTTCACAACCAATTACTATATGAAAATTCATACATCGGTTCACACGGAAGAGCGACCTCATAAGTGCACTATATGTGGAGAATCCTTCACAACCAATGATGTAATGAAGAAACACACGTTGGTTCATACCGAAAAGCGACCTTATAAGTGCACTATATGTAGAAAATCCTTCAAAACCAAAATCAGTATGAGGCAACATACATTGGTTCACACGGAAGAGCGACCTCATAAGTGCACTATATGTGGAAAGTCCTTCAAAACCAATGATGTAATGAAGAAACACACATTGGTGCACATCAAAGAGCGACCTTATTATTGCAATTTATGTGGAAAATCCTTCAAAACCAAAAATGTAATGAAAGGTCATACATTGGCTCACATCACAGTGCGATCTTATAAGTGCACTATATGTGGAAAATCCTTCACAACCAATTACTATTTGAAAATTCATACGTTGATTCACACGGGAAAGAGACCTCACAAGTGCACTATATGTGGAAAATCCTTCACAACCAATTACTATATGAAAATTCATACATCGGTTCACACGGAAGAGCGACCTCATAAGTGCACTATATGTGGAAAATCCTTCACAACCAATGATGTAATGAAGAAACACACGTTGGTTCATACCGAAAAGCGACCTTATAAGTGCACTATATGTAGAAAATCCTTCAAAACCAAAATCAGTATGAGGCAACATACATTGGTTCACACGGAAGAGCGACCTCATAAGTGCACTATATGTGGAAAATCCTTCAAAACCAGTACTATAATGAAGGGACACACATTGGTTCACATGGAAGAGCGACCTTATAAGTGCACTATATGTGGAAAATCATTCAAAACCAAATACTATTTGAAGACACATATGTTAGTTCATACCAGAGAACATCTGTAAGTGGTAAATATGTGGTAAATCCTTTACAACCAAAAACTATATGAAAAGACATACATTGGTTCACAGCAGAGAGCGACCTCATAAGTGCGCTATATGTGGAAAATCCTTCAAAACCAAAACCTACTTGAAGACACATAAGTTACTTCATACCAGAGAACATCTGTAAATGCATTACATACGGGAATTATTTTTGCATACCAAAGCTATATGAAGACACATTCATTAGTTCAAACAGGGAAGGGACCTCATATGTGTACTTCTGCTTGTGGTTGTGGAAAATACTTCATAACCAATACTTCACATAGGATAGAGACCTCTTAAGAGTATTGGTGTCTAGGGAAAATTCCATTATCATCACTCTCGTCCTCATGAACCACATGCTCACGATGAAGGAAGAATGCATCCTGTGTCCTGTGCGAAAGGAATTTCCGCATTGCTCTTGCCATTCAGAATCAATCCCTTACAACCAATATTAAAAATTAAGAAATATACATCAGTTCACAAAGGATAGAGAGCTCTTAAAAATATTGGTGTCCAGGGAAAATTCCTCCATCATCACTCTTGTCCTCATATAATAATGAGGTGGTGCACAAAAGCGTAGCAGCAATAATCATTTAAAGTCATGCATTGCTAAGATACAAATCTTCATTGTTCATTCCATGTTTTTATAAAATGGTTAGTTGTATATAGAACTGTTTATTTTTTAGGATAATTATTCTGAACCTAATGTTTTAATATATGAAAACTGACAACTTTGATATCATGTTAAAGAACTTTCCAGAGATTTTATCTTAGTGTGTATTGATCTAAAAAGCCAGTTATGTTAAGTTTTTGTAAATTTTTCCATTTCAATGTAATTTCAAGAAATACATTATTTTTGGGTGTTAAAAATTATTAAACCCACTACGTTGATTATGTGTGTCATATAAACAATCTGATATGTTAGTTTAAGTTTTTTTATTTGTTAAATATGACTTGTGAAAATGAAAAATAAACTGCTTTTGTGTTTTATGTAATTCAGGTACTAGAAATAAAACCTAAACTGTAAGTAATAATTTCTTTGTCTCAACCCCACACCATTCACCTAATTTTCTTCGTATGCTTAGATCAACAAAGTCAGGAAATAATACAAAGGACCTGTTATTCAAAGACAGAGTTGAGACCACTTACGAAGGTTGTTTTTTTAAGTAAAGGCCGTTTTTGTGTATAGCTCCGTAGTTAGCAAATGACACCATTTGCAGCCCTATGGATGACATTTATGCTTCGCTGTGTGTTTTAAAAAATGTTTGAATTGTACGAGATAAGGACATTTATCACATGAAACATATCCGACAACGCTCATCGCCAGACGTGATAGTTATGGCCCTTATACAATGAGGGAGGGTTAAGTGTGGATATTGGTAACGAGGGAAAGATTGCTGGTTCATGCTGAAAGGATTGCTTCTTGGCTCATTAGTCAGTTTAGTTACCGTTTGCCACCAAAGTTGATTGATATACATATTATACCAAATTTTATGCCAGCTCTAACTCGTTTTTGTTTAGGAAGACATGGGTTTCAACCCCATAATCTGGAGGTCATGCTATCCATCACACACAAAACAAAACCCACACAAAGACAAATTACATGAAATAATGAAAACCAGGTTTAGATTTATTACCTAACATTGGTCAGAAGAGAACACAGGTGATGTTCTTCATCATTTTGTCGTTGCTGGATGTAAGATTTTGGCCTATTAAAATCCCTGCAAACCATAAAGGGTATATATGGAAGTAAACCGTAAACCATATAGTTCCTTCCATGTTATATTGTATTATAACACCTTAGTTATATATAACTCATTGAAATGAAATGAAATATTCTTTAATTCCTTTTAAATTTTTACAATCTATCAAAAATGTCATGAAACAGCTAAAATTATAGATTAGGGTAGGTTAACAGGTTAAATTATAGGTTAATGGAAACAATACTTAAAGCTAACTAAACAAAATGAGACATTTAGGCCTAAATATTACAACTGATTGATCTGCTTTTTAAAAACATCTTCCAAACTATAAAACGGGTTATTGATTAGCCAACAAATTGTTTCCTGAAATCTTTATAGTGTGGGACTTAATTATAGATTCAAGAAAGCTATACATTTTGAGTGACAAAACTATGTAGCTATTAAGAGTTTTACATAAACAATGGAATTGTATTGAGGTATGGTTCTTATTTCTGGTATGATTATTATGACTATCTACTATCTTTATCACTACTCTCCAACAATTGTTTTGAATATTAATCTAAAGAAAATATTAAATTTTGTGATTTATCTTAGTTTAGCAAAAGTTTATTACTATGAAACCAATTTTGTGCATTATTTAATGTTTCATCAGCCAATTTTACAAGCTCTTTATAGTTTTCACTCGTAGATAAAAAGGAAGAATCTTTGTGTACAGAATGATTTTACAATAAACATCAGAGGGTAGATTATTTATATAACAAATAAAGACAAGAAGGAGGCCAAGGACTGTACCTTTTGGCACTCTCCATTCAACTTTAACATCATCTGACCATCTTCCTATTTTACAAACTGCTTGTTTCCGATGTTGTATTTAGCTTTTTAAAAAAGATAATGGGAACTTTTTCCCTTGACTTGATCAGATCTAGCCGCACGCACAGAAACAATATCACAACGGTAACCTACATCTGTTCTTTGTTAAAAATTTCATGATTTAAATAAAATCTGTAAGGGAGAAAACTGTTGCAAGAAGGTCTGAAGGCTTAAATTTAAGAAAGTTTTAAAAATGTAATACATTTTGTACATATTTGATTACATCAATTTTAATTACATTTGTAAATCAGATTTTGTATTAGTATGATGATCTCGATCCAGTATACATTTTTGTAATGTTTTGAACTCATTGTTTATTTAACCTAAATAAAAAAATTAACATAAATATTTACAATAAATGTACTTGTCTAATAAAATATGGTTGTTTTCAGAAATTGCAATACACTATCTCAAACCTGATGAAAAGGAACTTCAATTTGGCGCAGAGAAGCTAATTTAGACCATCTCAAATATAATAGATACCTAAAAAGGCTAGTAAGTTTCTATTACACTTATAAAACAAATGGAAGCCAACAATTCACTCTGTAAAATTACTTGTTAAATCATAATTCACATTTATGTCTTTAAGTGTAATAATATTTAAAACCAACACAATTACCGATTTGTTACTTAACAGTTAATACGATAAGAAATCTCATTTAAGACAAGCAAAAATAGTTTCTAAATTATGTTATAAAATCTCATATCGATAACAAATTTTAAGGACGAGACTATTCAAAGTTTAATAATACACCTTAACAAAAAACTAAATAAATATCATACAATAGGCCTGCATATCATTTAGTTATAATCTTGATTATAGTTAGTCAGTTGCTTGTTTCATAAGTTTCAAAAAGTCAGAAAGTGTAAAGTCAAAAATGTCAAAGGTCATAACAAATCTTTCTTTTAAGTGTCTAATATGTAGAAAAATATTTTCAACTCAATGGAAAATGAAAAATCATATATATTTACATACAGGTGAGCGTCCCTTTAAATGTTTGACATGTGAGAAAACATTTATTCACCTACATAAAGTAAAGTGTCATTTGTTGACAAAAGATAAGTGTCCTTATAAGTGCACTATATGTGGTAAATCCTTCACAACCCAAAACTATATGATGAAACATACATTGGTTCACACCGGAGAAGGACCTCATAAGTGCACCATATGTGGAAAATCCTTCACAACCAGTAGCAGTAAGAAGATTCATGCATTGGATCACACCGGAGAAGTACCTTATAAGTGCACCATATGTGGAAAATCCTTCAAAACCAGTAGCATTATGAAGACACATACATTGGTTCACACCGCAGAGCGATCTTTTAAGTGTAGTATTTGTGGAAAATCCTTCACAACCAGTAGCATTTTGAAGAGACATACATTGGCTCACGTCGGAGAGCGATCTTATAAGTGTACAATTTGTGGAAAAGCCTTCACAACCAAATGCTATATGAAAATTCATACATTGATTCATACGGGAGAGAGACCTCATAAGTGCTCTATATGTGGAAAATCCTTCACAACCAAAAACTATATGATGAAACATACATTGGTTCACACGGCGGAGCGACGTCATAAGTGCACTATATGTGGTAAATCCTTCACAACCCAAAACTATATGATGAAACATACATTGGTTCACACCGGAGAAGGACCTCATAAGTGCACTATATGTGGAAAATCCTTCACAACTGATACTATTATGAAGCAACACACATTGATTCATACTAGAGAGGGATCTTATAAGTGCTCTATATGTGGTAAATGCTTCATAACCAAAAACCATATAAGGAAACATACATTGGTTCACACAGAAGAGGGACCTCATAAGTGCACTATATGTGGAAAATCCTTCACAACCAAATACTATATGATCAAACATGCATTGGTTCACACGGAAGAGCGACCTCATAAGTGCACTATATGTGGAAAATCCTTCACAACCAAATACTATATGATCAAACATGCATTGGTGCACACGGAAGAGCGACCTTATAAGTGCACTAAATGTGGAAAATCATTCACAACCAATGCTATAATGAAGCAACACACATTGGTTCACACCAAAGAGCGACCTTATAAGTGCAATATATGCGGAAAATCCTTCAAAACAAAAAATATAATGAAGGTTCATTCATTAGTTCACACGGAAGAGCGACCTCATCAGTGCACTGTATGTGGAAAATCTTTCAAAACCAATGTCCATTTGAAGTCACATATGTTTGTGCACACGGAAGAGCGACCTCATCAGTGCACTATATGTGAAAAATCCTTCACAACCAATGCTATAATGAAGCAACACACATTGGTTCACACCAAAGAACGGCCTTATAAGTGCAATATATGTGGAAAATCCTTCAAAACCAAAAAAATAATGAAGGCTCATACATTAGTTCACAGCGGAGAGCGACCTCATAAGTGCACCATATGTGGAAAATCCTTCAAAACCGATATCTATTTGAAGTCACATATGTTAGTTCATACAAGAGAACGTCTGTAAATGCACTACATAAGGGCAGGTTAAATAAAGAATTTGTCATTTGTCATTTACATACCGGAATCATTTTTGCATACCAAAACTATATGAAGACACATTCATTAGTTCACACAGGGGAGGGACCTCAATGTGTACTTTTGCTTGTGGTTGTAGGAAATCCTTCACAACCAATACTAAAATAAAGAAATATTCATCGATTGACACAGGATAGTGACCTCTTAAGAGTATTAGTGTCCAGGGGAAATTCCATCATCATCACTCTTGTCTTCATGTACCACAATGCTCACGATGAAGGAAGAATACCTCCTGTGTCCTGTGCAATAGGAATTTCCACATAGCTCTTGCCATTCAGAATCAATCCTTTACAACCGATACTAAAATAAAGAAATATTCATCGGTTCACACAAGATAGAGAGCTCTTAAGAGTATTGGTGTCTAGGGAAAATTCCATCATCATCACTCTCGTCTTCATGTTCCACAATGCTCACGATGAAGGAAGAATGCACCCTGTGTCCTGTGCAATAGGAATTTCCACATAGCTCTTGCCATTCATAATCAATCCTTTACAAACAATATTAGATATAAAGAAATATTCATTGGTTAACACAGGATAGTGACCTCTTAAGAGTATTGGTTTCACCAAAACATTTACAATATTAGTAAGATTGTCAGATTAGAATTTTTTGTTGTTCTTTTATTCTTTTATGGGTCAGAACATCCAGCTCCAAGGACTCTTAATGTATCTTTGCAAAACAAGTTATCCTTCTAAAAGTATTCTAGGAATTATTGTAAAAAATTACATTGCTTGACAGTTACAAGGATATATTTAGTTGGTGAAGTAACTAAAATTGGGATTACAATTTTTACAATAATGAGGTTGTGGTACACGAAAGCATAGCAGCAATAATCATTTAAAGTAATGCATTGCTAAGATACAAATCTTCATTGTTCATTCCATGTTTTTATAAAACGCTTAGTTGTATATAGGACTGATTATTTTTTAGGATAATTATTCTATAATGTTTTAATATACGACAACTGACAACTTATATATAATGTTAGAGATTTTTCCAGAGATTTTATCTTAAGTGTGTATTGATCTAAAAAGCCAGTTATGTTAAGTTTTTGTAAATTTTTCCATTTCAATGTAATTTTAAGAAATACATTATTTTTGGTGTTAAAACTATTCATACGCGTAAACCCACTACGTTGATTATGTGTGTCAAATAAACAATCTGATTATTATGTTAGTTTAGGTTTTTTTATTTGTTAGTTAAATATATGTCTTGTTAAAATTAAAAATTAACTGCTTTTGTGTTTGATGTCATTCAGGTACTAGAAATAAAACCTAAACTATAAGTGATGATGTCTTTGCCTCAACCCCAGACCATTTACCTAATTTTCTTTCTTAGAAAATGTATGCTTAGCTCAACTAAGGCAGAAAATAAAACAAAGAAGGACCTGTTATTTAAAAGACAGAGTTAACAAGATTACTTACGAGGGTGGTTTTTTTTTTTTTTAAGTAAACACCGTTTTTGTTTTTTGTATAGCTCCTTAGTTCGCAAATTACACCGTTTGCAGCCCTATAGCTGACGTTTATGCTTCACTGTGTGTTTAAAAAATGTTCAAATTATTGAATTGTACGAGATAAGGACATTAATCACATGAAACATATCCGACAACGCTCATCGCCAGACGACTGATGGTTATGGCCCTTATACAATGAGGGAGAGTAAAGTGCGGATATTGGTAAAGAGGGAAAGATTGCTGGTTCATGCTGAAAGGATTGCTTCTTGGCTCATTAGTCAGTTCAGTTACCGTTTGCCACCAAAGTTGATTGATATACATATTATACCAAATATTATGCCAGCTCTAACTCGTTTTTGTCTAGGAAGACATGGGTTTTGGCCCCCATAATCATTTGTCAGAGGGGTCATACTATCAATCTCACACAAAACAAAACCCACTCAAAGATATGATACAATACACGAAATAATGAAAACCAGGTTTGGATTTATTACCGAATAGCGGTCAGAAAAGAACACAGTAGAACCCCTCATATCCGGCCACCACGGGACCAAGCCCCTGGCCGGATAACGATTTGGCCGGATAAACCAACCTACTATGAAAATGACAATTCATACCTAATAATAATAGGTAATTAATATATGCAATCAAAAGTATCATTTAATTCTGTTCTGGGATCATTTTTAGAAAAATAAACATGTCTGTAAAAAGGAAATAAAATATTTGTAGGTTAAAGTCATTACTGTAAGTAATGAATGTACAAATATTATGATTCCAGGTGACAAAACATATTAAATGGAGGTAAAAATGACATTAAATTGTACTTAAAGATCATTAGGACTTAAATTGTACTTGCATTTCTACTCAACATTCTTAACCATTTTGTGAAATACAAAAATTAATGTACTCATACTGTACTCTACTAAACCCACTTTGGAAATAATCAGCCAACTGATCAGAGGTTAGGCCTACTAGCTCAACTGAGTATAGTGACTCAGCAAATAAATGTATAAACAAACAGATAAATAATGAGAACAATTTATTTTATCACTTGAGCAGTCACAAAGACTAGTGCTTGTATCTAAACGTCTGTAAGGTGTGAGAAAAAAATTTTGATATTGGCTTCCTGGAAGGGGCCGGATAAACAGAGGACCAATAAAACCAAGGCCGGATGGTTTAAAAAATCTTCCAAACTATAAAACGGGTTATTGAACAGCCAAAAATAGAATTGTTTCTTGAAATTCTTTATAGTGTGGGATTTAATTATGGATTCAAGAAAGCTATACATTTTAAGTGACAAAACTAAGTGGCTCTTCAGAGTTTTACTTAAACGATGGAATTCTATTGAGGTATTGTTCTTATTTCTGGTATTACAATTATTATGAATATCTACTACAGTCGAACCTCGTTAGTACGAACATCGTAAAATGAATTCCTCAATAAGACATCTTTTCTTTAATCCCCCTTGAA